TTATCCGTTGAATAGTGTAATCCGCCCTTTATTCAACTGGGCTCAGTTCAACAGTAATAATCAGTCTGCCCGAAATGAAAAATAGGGAAACGATTTGGACGGAATTTTATATTCCAGGTTAGATCACACGCTAAGCTGATTTGGTTAAAATGTTGTGCGACTGCAAGGGAATGGGAACATCATGAAATATTTGGGAATAACAACAGTTAGTCATGATAAAAATTTGTACGAAAAGCAGAAAATATAAAAAAGTTGTTTCGGTTCAACTTAAATCACAGTTTCTACTCTTGTGGATGAAGAGCTCTCTTTTGTCTTATAGGTGTTGACGAGTGTCCCATCTCAACAGCACCTAGCAGAGCTAAAACGCAAGGCTATTGATCAGGTATGTTTTGAAAATTGCCATAAGAAAAAAGATTTGAATTCAGCCATTATTCAAATCTTTCCATAGAAGATAGTTTACCTATAAGACATCAATGTGTGGCTTTAAAATTTTATGTCGCGAATCCTGTTTAATAAATAAGAGGGCGAACATAACTATGCTTTAGGTGACACCAACTAGAGAATGTTTGTTTAACAGAGTGTACAAATAGTGTATCTTAAAATCGTTCAAATTGATAGACGAATCTTCTTTTATTTGTGCTCAGGGATCACCCGCGTTACTGGTTATTAGTTGCGACAAAGATGGCCTGCTGTGTTCAGAATTTCTCAAGAAAGGATTTGGTAAGAACTTTCTGGGAAGTACTTCGGTGAACATGCTACTACATGTCCAAATGTACGTGAGGCTTGATTCAGACGCTGAAGTTTTCACGACCCAAACTTAATTCTAATTTGGAAGTATATTTATTCAAACCGTTTGCCGCTACACATGTACGTCATCACAATTTATGCCCTAACTTTGGCACATGTTACCTTTGTATCCAAGGCTTCCAAGCCCTCCCAAGCATTCATTCAGCTCATGGGTAGTTTTGCATTTGTTTTGGGTCGAGTTGTGTCTTCTGAGTTTTGTAAGCAGAATTCATAACGATAAAAGTCAAAGTAATACAGGTCTAAGAATAAACCTTAAATGTTTAACGGCACCCCTAAGTCATACATTAAGGTCACGAGAATAAAAGACTGATCACCAACTAAAGTAGTTCTTGATTGTGACACAAATTCTCCTTGTCAGCACCTTAAGAAATGTAAGAAGAACAGTCTTAAGAATATGCATACTGATGTATGGGCGAAAAGGGTTAAACAAAAGGCAACCAAAGTTCTTGTTAAACTACACGCCACTCCAGCACGAACCGTCCCACCTCCTACGGTGTAAATTTAAAATTTCTCATTTTCCTTTTGGTTTTTTCTTTCGTCAGACATACACAATGCTGAACTAATCTTGTCAGGTGTATTGAAGCAGCAATTGGATCTCGACTTGTATCCTTTTAGTTCAGCACGCTATAAAATACTTTCTCTTAGGGAGATATTTTATTTATGTTCTTGTTACTGTATTTGTTGATGTTAATTTTTTTTCTCCTCCCAATACTACTTGGTACTTTTAACTTTGATTGGGATAATTTTGCTTTTGTTATTTTAACATCAAAGGTCATAGTTTAACTTAATGAGAATTGTCAACTTGCGTACTGATCATTAATTTGAATCAAAGAGTTAATTACAATGCTTAACATTATTGCCAGATATAAACTTGAAATAACTTTGGAGTGACAGCATGTTACAGATGGAAAAGTTTCGCCCCTCACGAATTTAAATTTTAGTTAGATTTAATCAATATTTTTCACTCAGTGTTATCTGGCTTTTTATCACGATATTGATGATATGTTCAAGTAGCTACGAAATGTTATCAGCTTTGAAGATACAAAAATCTTCACCAAATTCCCACTGCCTCCTTTGAAAAATTCCTCGTTATCTGTTTAGAATTTATCCTTTGTGCAGGATTTCAATGACAGACTCATGTAAATAAGACTCTTCCTCGTAGTATTCGGAAGCAAAAGTGTCAGGTTTTTATTTCACTAATATATGGTACCTTACATGATATATATATGTTATATTAGTATACGAAACGTGTTACACATTAAACCCTTTTTAACTTGCTCAAATTATTAGTTGCTTACTGTGTAGTAGTAGTAGTTGATGTTGCTAAATTGCTATGATGTAACTGTGGGTTTACTAAATTAGGTCACGAAAACACGCAAAATGTGCCACAGTGATACAATGAAGAAGATAGTAAAAATACGGAGCAACAAAATGGCCACACTGAACGATCCAATCTTTGATTTTTTTTTTTCCTATGGGTTTCTTTTTTTTTGCTTGACTTTTAAAGAGGCGAACCCATAAGTGCGATAGATTTTTTCTTTGGTCACAAATGTGCGAACTGGACTGTTCGGCAACAGCGCGAAGATTTACTCACGACAAGAAAGGGAACTTATTGCATGGTCTCAAAAGAAGAAGAAAAGAAAAAATCTTATCCGAGAGCGATAAGCCGAGATCGATAATTGGGTTTACTCGGTAGGCGACCATGTTTCAGTACTGTGTTGTATTGTACGAATCTCACTAGAACCACTGGTGTTTAATCGTGATGTCTATACCAACCCCCCGCCTCTCCCCAACTCATCAATTTGACCTAGACGATAAATTTCGATTAGCCAATTGTTTTTCTTTTTCCAGTCGACTGTTGTGTTTACGCCACAAACCGTAGCAATTTGAGGGAAATCTGTGGTGAGAGGCAGTAAAGGCTTTGCTTTAAAGGAATGCTGGCCGGAGATCGGTCCCACGCGTTCGTTTTGGAAAGTGTGTTTCTTTATCGAAGAATTGTGGAAGTTTGAGAATCGATGTCTGTGGGAACTACATGTATTTAAAAGCCTCACTCCCCAGGATTTTAATGCTCAAGTGCATATTGATATGATCCTACGGGCTCAACCGACACCTACTATCACCATCCTTTCTAATTGGCTTTTCGTTAATCAAGACAGTTTGCATCAGGACTATGCTGAACAGGCCAGAATCACAAATTGAAAGTTTACTGTTGATATTGCAACGTACAAGTGTGTTTGAATAAAAATTGATTAATTTAATTTTGGCAGTGTTGGAACGCCATACTGGCACATTTGTTGTAGTGAGTGAATACTGCAAAGGTGAGCCAGGTGATTACATAGTTGGACAAACGACTCTACTGATTATTTGTTAAGTGTAGCCTAGTACACCCTAGTGAACGGGGCTAAGTTCTCAACAATCGAACTTGCGAAAAGAAAGTTTGCGATATGTGGCGAGTTCATGAAACCTGCTGGGAATGGCTGGTCCATATCCCAGCGGCTAGGGCAATCGGCTAAGGCATTGTGGCCCCCCACAGGCAATGACAGGCAATGAATGAGTTACCAGTAATAACACACGTCCAAAAAAGTGAAAAGGCTTAGTTGAGTTATTTCTTAGCGATTTATAGTTGGTTTTCCTTAATTTCGAGACCATTACGCGATGTCAAATTCATAATAAACCTTGCGCATGGAGACAGGTTAATCGGTAGATTTACTGCACATTTCAAGGTTGTTTATACAAAAACTTACGCTTCCCTTGTATCAGCATAACCCAAATCCATTTCTGATGAAACAGCGGCGAAAAATCGATAATCTCTCTCCAAAATCGTGTTTTTGGACGCCGGAGGCGATCCCAACCCAATCCAATCTAACTTTATTTATCGAGGGTAGCACGAAACAGTTACAATACTGGTAAACTTGTAGTCCTCCTACATCAAATATATCCTATGTATCTACTAAAAATACCCTTTATATATGTATATGAATGTGCACTAAGAGTAATATTATGTGAAATATAAATACAAAGGATATAGCATTGATAAAGATACAAAAGGAGAAAAATTGAGAGCAATTCAAAAAAAGAAAAGAAAATGGAAATGCTAGTTTACTATAAAATGACGAATGTCCTCATTCAAATGGCAATAGTAGTCGTTCAGGCATTTATGTAGATCTGAATTTGAATTTGACATCTTTTAGGCTTTTAGGCTTGGCTAAATCTTTATATTGGGTTTCCAAAGTTGGTAACGTATTCGCAAGTTGTAAATTCGAATTGAATTAGGACCATATGCAACTGACGATGATCTAAGAAATAACGAAACATGTTTTGAAAATTTACAAATGTTCTTTTTTTTTTATAAGAACTATCCAATGCTTGTAGAGAATTCCTTGTTAAAATTTTCATGCCTCTCCTTTTTCAAACTCAACTGTCAGACCCTCCGAAATCATCCCTAAGAAAAGAGCCTTGCGAAAGGTTCATCTCCGAACGATTTGCCGCAATGTTTGATCTCAAATTAGGGTACGTTTGGTTGGAGCTATTCCGCGTCCGTTTAATTATGCCCAAATACGTTAGGTTTAGTCCTCTAAATGTTCATAAAACCGAGACTTTGTATTAAAATGATATTGGTTTGACTTCAATTTAAAAAGTTTGGCCGTTCATTGAAATCGCTAGGATAACATTAAAACGCGTCGAAATCGAACAACGATGTTTTGAGACGAAGAAACGTGGAGCTCATTACAACCTTTAAGATTTATTGCAAACTGTGACGTATTTTGCTCTTGAGACTGCTTTTCTTGGCAAAAGGAGCCCTAAATGATGCAGTATTGTTTTCCTTCTCGGATGCAATGCTAAAGTCGTAGGTGATGTTACACATGGATGGAGGTTTAAACAAACCTTTTTTAGACTATTTAATATTCATTCACTTTTATATAAAACACGTCGACTCTTATCGTCAGTAAAATCTGGTGTGTCTAAAACACAAAACTGAAACCGAGAAAAAAAAAAGCAAGATATGTGGGGCAAATTACCTAGCATCCCGCTCTACAAACTTTTTCCACGCTCTCTTCTGCTGGTATGTGAACTTTCTTTGCTTCAGTTTGCAAAGCAGATGTACCTTGTTTTCTTGCTTTGGATATTCTTTCAAACTATGCTTGTCGTTGAAATGTAAAAAAAAACCGAAGGTATTTCGGTCGTAGTGTCGTTCAATTTTCCAGAGATATAAAAACTGGCTTCACCAGATAATGACTCGGTGATTTTGAAGACATTTTTAGCTGCATTTGTAAGTTTTTTTTGTTCTCCATCCTTTTCCTCCTGAGTCGTAATTTTTCATTAAGTTCAGAAGTAAATGATTTTCGGCGATGTTTGTTTAATGCACTTGGACTAATTGCATATTGATTGCAATTTACTTCTTTTTTTTTTTCTTCCCCACCAACACCTTTCGTCATCAGTGTATTGCACTTCATTGTGAGACCTTCGGAAGGTTCTTGTCCTAGAGAGTTGGATCGAACCTTTTGTAGCTTCCTTAGAGAACGCACAGCATTGCTTTCAAGGGAAGAGACTGATAGTGTCTTAACTCCTTCGCCTGACGGTGTTATAGCATTAAATGAACTCCTATCGCCGAGTTTTAGTGTCAAGTAACTTGCTGTTTCCCTTTGTGGTTCATCCAATAACACAGGAACACCGCTGCGCTCTTTTAAGAGCTGAAATCTCGCTCCGCCACTCTTACTGTCTTTAGCCTTATCAACCTTTTTTATTTCATCGCGGGTCCTTTCCGTTGAATTTCTTGAAATGTTTGACCTCGCTGAGTCTACACCCGAGACCTCCAAAGTGCTCGATTTGTCAAAAGAACCGGAAGAAAGCGTTTTTCCGCAGTTGAAGGTACCACTTTCATCTATGTCGCCTAACAATTTTTTTTTACTCTTAAAGGAAACCTGCTGTTGAAGACTCTTTCCTAAAGGTAGTTTCTGTGCACCATCGGTTCTTGAACTTACATAGCTTTCACCCCGTGGTAATGTTCTATCTTTCATCCTTTCCTTGGTGCTCGACGTGGCTGTGCTGATATCAAACAAGCCTTGTCGTACCTGTCTGGGAGAATGAGATTGAGTTCGATGAATTTTTTGGCGCCCTTCTGTTGGTGCCATTATAAACGAATTTGTCCGAAAGCTCTTTGCACAGACATTATTACAGCTTCCACCCTGGAGTTCAAAATCGAGATCAAGAACAATTTTTGAATTGTTATTACACTGAAGTTCCGGGATGACCTTGGAGTGAGTTTCTCTATGTAGATCCGTTAATTTCAAACCGCTGTTTCTGGAACCTTCTAAAGCACTTAGATCCGCTTTTGCCGCTAAATGAGTTCTCGGTTTACATTTCACAGGGAAATCTTGTGTTACTGAGTTTCCTCGAGACCCACATGCCTCAGCATTTACGCTGTTATGCAAGGTGTCACCCTTGAGGTTTCTACGGAACACTGTTATTTCACTGGTGTCTAGGGTATCTCCTACATCAACAGATGGACTTGCTTCTGCCTTGGTCACTGAATGAGTCCTCAGCTGGCGTTTCTCGGTGAGCTCAGAGGTCACCGAGTTTCTTCGAGACCCGCACACCTCAGCGTTTACGCTACAGGGCAGAATGTTACCCTTGAGATTACTACCGGACACTGTTATTTTGCTGGTGTCACGGGTATCTGTTACATCAGCGGATGAACTTGCTTCCGCTTTTGCCGCTGAGCGAGTCCTTGGTTGTCGTTTGGTGGTGAGTTCGGCAGTCACCAAGCTTCTTCGAGACCCACATGCCTCAGCATTTACATTACTTTGCAAAGAGTTACCTACAAGGTTGCTATTGAACTCTTTCACTTTACTGGTCTCTCTAGTATGTTCTACCTCAACAAATGGACTTGCTTGCGCCTTTGCCGCTGAATGCGTCCTTTGTCGGCATTTCTCGATGAGCTCTGGTGTCGCCGATTTTCTTTGAGACCCACATGTCCCAGCATTTACGCTATTACGTAAGGTATTACCCTTGAGGTTGCCACCGATCTCCGTTCCTTCACGGGTGTTGGGAGTATCCCTTTCATCAGCAGAAGTTGGTGCAGAAAGTAGCACACCCTTTTCTTGCCTCACATACTCCCTTCTCCCTTTCAATGGTTTATTAAGTGACTGAGATGGACTGTGAACGGAATCTTTCGAATGATGCACTTCCTGAATGTTTCTCTTTAAAGACAGTGTTTTGTTGGTTGTCTCATTTTCAAACGATGAAAACAGTGTAGCGCTTTCCTTAGCTGTTCCTGCGTTCTCAAAGAGTGTCTTTACCACACCTTTTTCGGGAAAGCTGTCATAATTAGCCAGATCTCTCTCACCCGAGACGCTGAGCTCTTCCTTGACCTTTTCCTTAAATCCTCTCATTGAGTTCTTTAACTTTTGCATTCCATGTCGTACTTTAGACCAGTCCTTCTTCGAGTACTTAGAGGATGTCACAAGTAGTCTGTCAAAATCATCCTCATCCAAAACACTACTATTCCTTCCATGTATCATCGATGTTGAGACTTTCGTGGCAGTGCCATCATTTTTCCATTTTCTCCTTTGGACTCTCCCTAAATCTCTCTCTATTGCTCTGGTTAAGGCAACCTCCTTTGCCCATTTGGAACGTGAGTAGTTTCGAGCCCGTCGATGAACGTCTCGAACCAACTGTAATTTTTCCTCAGTTTGGTAGCCATATTGTTCAATCTCTCTTTCCCTTCGAGTTTGCGCTTTATTTGAAAATATTCTTAAAGCATCTTTCAAGCCGCTTGTTAGATGCGTACTTCTGCGCCTTCCATTCGCTTGAGACGAGGAACGTCTTCGCATCGCGTAAATTTCTGGCTTTCCACTAGTGTTTAAACTGGGGTTAATCTCTGAAATAGTCCTGGTCCTTACTTTATGAGTCTCGTCCTGTTTGCCACCAACATGAAATTCGTACCAATCAAGAAAGGCTCCGTCCATGATTTCTGAAGTCAGTCCTTCTGCACAGCTTTCAGTTGTCAGGAGGTACTTATGTAGATTAAGGAAACTTGGCCGACCTGCGGGGTCACTGAAACATTTTTTCATGATAGACTGAATGAAGCTTGGCCAGATTTCCAGCATAGGAAGGATCATGCGATCCCGACAGAGAGCTTGTTTTAATGTGATTCCCGTCAGCCATGACCACGGAACCTTTCTAGCCAAGGACTCCCACATTAGAGCGCCAAAACTGGATGAAAACAGCAAACAGAATTAATCAGCTCGATAAGTCTATTCTGTATGCAACAGTGATATCTTCCTACCTCCTGACTCACTCTTGCAATACTGTGGTTTTGGTTTCACTCAATCGAAATGTGTTTTATAGCGTGCAATTTGTAATTATTTCAATAAACCAAGAATAATCACCTGGCGTCGGTTGTTTGAAGGGTGAATAACGCTATCCACTGGATAAATCTTAAATCCGGTGGATGGCGCAGTACGTTTCCTTGACACTTATCCGCTGGATTTCGGTTTGCTATCGCTATTTCGCTATTCTGTTCATTTCAGAAAATTCTCCTATCGGTATTTTGGTTTGCTAACGCTATCCTACGGGTAAGTTACCCTATCCCTATGCTATCCTACGGGTGAGTTACCCGTAGGATAGCGTTATCCAACCTTTGAACAATTGGACCCTGGAGAAGACGAAAATAATCGATGACAATGCACCCTTAGGTTGCCTATCAGAGTTCAAAAAGGAAACTGAACGCAAATTGAACCAACCTGTAAACATCGGAAAATGTATCTGGTGGCTCATGTAAGATTTGCTCGGGTGCCATCCAGTTCTTTTGTATCTTGCGACATGCAATCTCATGATTCAAGTCTCCAACTTTCTGAGAAAACTCTAGGTTACCGATCTTTGCCCTAAACTTCTCGTCAATGAAAACTGAAAATGAGCTAAGAAATCCGTGAATTATGGAGAGGCTGTGAATATAAAGCATTGCGTTGGCTATATCTAATAGAAGATGAATTCTCATAGATAGGCTCATCTTTTCTTGGGTCTTGTGTAGCAGGTGGTTGAGAGAAGCAAACTGAAAATGCTCCATTACAAGACAGAGATGATCTGGATCAGGATCTAAACATACCGCCAGAAGTTTTGCTAGGTGTGGATGTTGTAAACGGCTGTAGAAATGAAATCAAGAAGAAAAAAACCGTGAGCTGATGTTACCTGTTATCTTGGATCCCTGTTTGATAGTTTTCCCGCCTTCTAAGTCACATGACCTCCATTATTCGCAGTCACTGGTGCACAATAGCAATCATTGTTCATTGTTGATTGAATGCGATTTCACAGGCATTCACTCGAAGTAACAAAGTGTGCAGCAACTTGGAGAAATAAGGGTGAAAACCAAAGAAGAGGAATTTTTGTTCTTACACTACCTTTGCATTTTTATTTTTTTTCATTTTTTTTAGGAAATTCCACTAACGATGTCAAACGATATCTATGCAATGGAAATATTAATTACTTTGGTGGTTGGCAATTGTACAGGGGGGATGAGCACAATTTCTCTACTGCCTTACGACTAACAAAAAGACATCCTACCACAATATATCCACCTCTCTCTTCACAAGCGTTCTACTACCCTCCTGTCCCTTAACCCGTTTTACAGTCACGAGGGAATGATTCCACAGTGCACTCTGTAGGGTCATGTGAGGCATGTCTTCCAATAGCGCAAGATGGGGGACTTTTAACTGGTCAGCGGTGATTTCAGGAAGTACATCGGCCAATAGCTTCTTTTTAAGCTGGATTTAGTGAAAAAAAGTGAAAAAAATGTTAGTCCAGATCGTAAAAGGCGTTGCTATCTCTGTTCTATCAGTAAAATGAAGTTGTTTCTCGGAAGTGTCAAGGTCAGCCCCTTGGCTGCACAGCTTGATCAATAGCCAAGTTGTCTGTCTCTCCTCCTTTCCTAAATTCCTGCTGGTTTTGTTTTATGATTCATCTTCTATTTACTCCATCTGCACTTCACAATGTTCTCGGTCAGCGCAGAAGAACTCAACAAATCAGCACTAGAATATTCAATTATTCTTTTATTCACTTTACACTTCCTCGTTTATCTTTTTCATGTTCCTATTCCTAAATAACGTAAAAATTAGAGCAAAAATTTATTCAGTGAGCACAACTGGTTTGGAGCAAAAAATAATCAGGAAACATGGGTTAAAACTGAAGATCAATTTTGAATGGAAACTTCCAACTATCTCTTTAAAGCATAAAACCTCAAAATGAAACCATTATTGGGACAATTATTAATTAAAACAATAGGATACATGTACCTTTTTCTCTTTGGCGACGTTTGATTCTAACACATCGTGTCTGTTGTTGGTGTTTTTCTTGTTCTTCAACATCTGTATGAACTCTCCTGTTCTGATCTCTTTGGGCGGACGGACCTGGGCGTTCTTTGTGAACACTAGAATTCTGTTATGGTGATCCTCCATGTTAAGGAATATAGAATAGCTCTACGCATTCAACGCTCTTCTTTGAATATGCTTCATTGACCGAGTGTAACCTTGTGCAAGTGAGAATGATTAATATGATTGTATTATCTAGTTTAACTGGGTGAAACTAAAATACCACTCACGGATACGTTATGCATATAAATTATGTTATGTCTATTGATGTCAAACTAAGATATCAACTCGCTGAATGAGTGCAATTGTAAAGGTGTAACTAGCACTAATCACCTTCTTATTAGGTTGCATAAAAGAGTATTTATCATACAATTTAACGTCTCACCTATTTGGGTCTGCTACACAATCTAAGGAGATGTTTCACGCAGTTTTGTTTATCTCTACTTACGGCGTAAAACAAAGACGAGTTCTCAAATTTATCTCATGCGTCCACGTTGATTCCATTATCTTTACATCCCTTAATTTTTTTGTAAATCTCCTCTAATGACATAATCTATCAGGCGCCCCGCCATTACTATTCCTTGGGTTGCATCTAAAGCAAAAAAATAAGACGACGAAAAAATTTCATTTCTACTATAATAGAATTATGCGCGCGCCTGCAAACTTCAATCATTATATTAGGCATTTTGTGACGTAACTAACGAGACCGTGGAACAATTACAAATTATGCTCTTTCTTAAGTGAAGAGTATTCTGCAGATCATGAAGAGCCCACATATCCCCTTGTTAATATTTTTTTCCTTTCTTTAACCTGACACTTTATATAATATAGTCAAACTTCTTTATCTGTAGTCCACGGGACTGTTTAGAGTAATTCTTAATTGAATATCAGAAGTAATCCAGATTGCTTTGCTTTTGTTTACTCTGTGATTGATTCAGAAAACTTGCACAACTCTTCCAAACGGTCAGATGCAAAACTAAAGCCAATCGCGAATTAGTTGCTCGTGACTTTCACACTTCTAGGCAGTATAGTCCGTTAAACTTTGAATTCTTATTGGCTCTTTAAGGTATTTTCCTTCCTCCTGATTGGCTGTTGTGATTACTTCACCCAACACTCAATCGAATTAAAATTCCTGCTATTTTCTTTCCTCATGTTCTTTACATTTGACCTCTGAATAAGGTCATCCCTGCTAAGGGACTGGGCCTTCCTTTAGACAGACTCCCCAGATATGTCTTTCTATTGTTTTCCACTTTTATAAAAAAGTTACCCCGTGAAATTAAAATCGAGAAGATCGAAAGGTCGGACTATTTTAGTGTTCACTCCTTCACTCGTTTCCGGAAAAAATATCTGACCAGGATTGCTTACATTCAACCGTTTAATCGTATTGTAATCGAAACTTAGGCGATCAAACCACTGCAAATAAAGATTATCAAACTCAAAACTAGTGATTTCAATACCAACACAGTTTATTATTTTGTGTCACAAGTAATAAAGATTGCAGCAAAAATCTAACTCTGTTTCTAAACCTTTTAGAGCAAATTTCAATTACGTGTCAACAGCAATCCGGGATTTATCTCGACTTCGCTCCGTGATTGGCCCAGAAAACTTGTGTCTCCGTGTCATCCAGTTAGAAAGAAGCTAACACAAATCGCGTGTTAGTCAGCCACGTTATCCCACGCTTCGAGAAACTTCCACGATTTGGTTTTAGATCTCACTATTTCCTCACATTATTTTTTATTAGCCGTTTGAGAACCTTGTCTCATTTTCTTTAAAGTTAATCGAAAAGTGCTGTAATGTTTTTGCTATTTAATCTTGAAGCAGAGCCCATCAGGCATGAGATGACTATTTCCGAAGGAAAACGACGTTTTCTAATAGTCATCCCTACACAGTTGGCGGAATTTCTGTCTGGAATCTCCCCACTGGTTGTTGTTATAACAACATCCTCTGCGTCTCGAGTATCTGCCATGGCAGCAGTCTTCAAATCTTGGATCGTAAAATGTTCGTCCACAGCATTTCCTTTGTGGTCCATGAACGGTTGACAGGCTCGAACCTTTTATGACCATCGAGCCACAACAAGAATGCGTTAGAGGGTTGTATCCAACGTTCCCACAACACACTTTACCGTTGCTTACTCTGTTGGAACAACAAACCTACACAACAAAAATATTTAGATTTAGTCTTTATAATAGAAATAAACAAATTAGAGTACAGTTTTAAATTTTCTCGTTTCCAATTTCGACGCGGAAATGAGGGAAGGCACACCTTACTTAAGGTGCCCTACTAAGCGAGCGAAAGTGTATGTGGAGAGAGCTTCGTCTCTAATTTTTTAGCGCTAAGTTCAAGACCCTTACAAGCTTGGGTTTAAAGGGATCCTTATGATGTACTTTGTATATGTAGTGAGAGAGAAAAGACACACAGAGCTATTTACGCGAGCTTCTTCTTGAATGACAGTGGTGGATAATGGAGGGATTAGTATGATGCAGTGGTCGGAGCACTCGCCTTCCACTGCTGTGCACTATGTTCTATTCCTGCTCCTGTCGTCTTTGCTATTAACGTTTTTCAAAGGGCTCTCTAGTTTTCCTTTTTCCGTTGTAACCAACATTCGAAATTTTGATTTGGCGCATTTTAATACATATTGACAGAATTTTCGCGTTATGAAACAAATAGTTATCACTTTGATAGATCGATTAACTGTCAGACTATTGTGGGTATTTGATGACACTTTTCCTCCACTTTTCCAAAATCAGGATTTCCCATTATATACGTCGAGCCTGAAAAAGGAATTCTTTTTGGGGCAGCACCTCAGTTACGCTCATTGATGGAAAGAACCCACACTCCCTTCCCCGCGCCCTTCACTGCAGTAAGGAGATGTTCACAACTATGGCAAAGTGATCAGTACCTGTGTTTGTGAGTCATAGACTCGATTTCCACAGCATCTTGGGTTCTGTACACCCTGAGGTTTACCTACAACCTTCCCAGCGCAGCACATCTGATGAGAGGTGAACATGATGTTGCTACCGCAACAGCCTACTTGGATGCCACTTGGGTTTTTTGGCTTGTCAAAAAGCACATTCGAACAGCAGATCTGATGGCATAAAGCATTTTTAAAAAACACTTAGATGTAATAAAACAGCGGTAGAAATCTCTGACTATAAGGTTAAGGCATGAGCCACCGTTCACCTCATCATTGTTGGTTTATTGGGAGGCACCTGAAAATAATTATGAACTTCCCAATGCAGTCTAGCATTGTCCCTCGCAAAGTGTTGTAAGGCGCGTTAGGATGGACAATGCACTGAGTAAACGTCATACAATGAAAGCATGACATCATCATTAACAATAATAAAACACTTCTGTGCAGCAGTAACCTTGTGGCACAGTCATAGAGAGCCCTGTTATCTAGCCCTTGTCATGCGTCCAAAGGGGAAACGAAGACTGTCCAATCTTAATTTCTCGATTATCCCTCAGCCGTGTTAATAATTGTTCTAACCTGTTGGTTTCTGTCGTAAACATTGCTCCCACAACATGCAGGTGAGGAGATGCTTGGGGTAGACACAATTTTTCCCCCACAACACACTTGTGACCTTGGATCGTACGTTTTGCTGCCACAGCACTGAGCGGGCTTGGATGAAATGACTCCATTACAACAGACATGAGTGTAAGGGTTGTAACTTCTCTTGCTGTGAGACAAAGAATGTGGTTAATGATGATGATAATAATATCACTGATAATAATGATGATAAGAATAATTGTTAATGGTGGTCTCGGGTCTGAGCCTTCCGACCACCGACTCTTTGGATTTATCAACAATCTTTCCTTGGGGTGCACGTTTAGGGATCTTTGCGTGACATTCGATATAAAGGCTGCCAAGAAAACAACCTCTGCCAAAAAAAATGGCTAGTTGTTTGAATACATACCCACAACAACTGTTCAGATGCTGATGACTAGAAGCTCGGGGAGTAACAGTTCCACCACAACAGGTATATCTTCTGCTATCGTACGGAACTGCTCCACAGCAGGCATTTTGAGAAACAGTCTTTTTCTTTACGGTGAATTCACAACACAGTTCTGTGTGAACATTATACTTTCGGGATCCACAACAAGTGTCGCCGGGTTTCTCTAGTAGAACGATATTACCAAAGCAACATAGCTGTCTTTTTGAGTTGTAATATTGATCGCGACAGCAACGATCGTAGTAACGAATCTCTTTAAGACTCCGTGGTTCTCTGCCATTGCGACGGTCGATTGTTTTCAGGCCACAAGGCCTGCGCCAGGCTTGACATTGATCCATAGCTATATAGGAGATGGGAGAGTGACTGTTTTCAAAGCACTGACACAGAATACTTCTCTAGCTAAAATCAGCCATATTTAAGCCATAAGCACAGTTCAAAAGTACACTTGTCATTTACACAAACATAAAAAAAAAAAGAAATTCCTTTTTTTCGCTAAAGAATAAGTTCAACCACTAAATTTCGGACTCAGCCTTCGAGGTTGGACGTGGCCATAGAAAATCATTATTTGAAACAGCCTAAGAGATTTGTCACTTTGTCAAACGAAAAGTTCGACGATCGAAAAGGACCTTAACATATAACATGCCTCAACTGAGACCCCAGATAAACTGTCCCAATCTGATGATATCTAATGAACATCGGCAGTCAGCCCACTTTACCGGGGTAAACTTCAGCGGGACATTGCAAAACTCCACGCGATGTACATGGCCTCCCCATGCACAGACATTGATTTGGCTCGTCCCAGAACTCTTTTCCATCGTTAGAAATGAAAGAGCCCTTCAGATCTCGTGTTCATTCTCCCTCAAATGCAAGAACACCTGAGTGGTTCTCAAAAACATCTTCATAAATGAATAATCTGTGAAGAGACTGGACTCCAATTGCTATTAGACTGGAGGAATTTAGGCAGAAAAACTTTCACTTACATAAAATGATGAACGCAAGGGTGGCGAAAACACAGCCAATCTGTCTCATGGTGATTCTTAACGTTAAATTTCTTTTGGCCTAAAATATAAAATCTGTGAAATAAAAACAATGTTAAAGACTGATAATTCCTTGGATTAAAATTAAAAAAATTATTTTACCAAGCACACTTACATGTCGAGATCCTAAACAATAACTCTACGAATCACTGATACGAAACATCTTTCCGAAAAGCCTTGTTGCCTGAAAAAATCCGTGCTGTCGTTGATTTATTTAAGACGTCAAATCATTATCACGGCAATAATCTCTCACATATGTAAGTCAGGAAAATTAGTTGACTAGCTTCTCATTTCCCGTAAGTGAGGAATGTTCGTCGAAACATTTCAAGATATTAATCGCGGTAGAATTCATAGCGGGATACAGGTTTCAAAACGTCTTTCCTAAGCTACCATCCTCTTTTGACTATTTCCACCTTTGGCGACCAAAAGTTTTAGGTGGATTGTGTGATCAGCCATTGCTTTGTGTTGAAGAGAAACAGAGCTACTAGTTAAAGCAAACATAAGATTTCCACCCTTAATGACGTCACCTCGCTTACTCATCGTAACAGCATTTGACCTGGTCTTAGAAAAGCGATTGTAGGAGTGAGAAGCGGAAATTTAGTGTAAAGCACGTTTTTAGTATTTATCCAAGTTAGAAACAAAAAAACTGCTAAATAGTGCGTCTAGGGGAAATTAAGCGAACGTTTTTCAATTAAGTTAGACATTTAGGATGCATACGACCTTTTCCATCCTAAAAAGAAAGTATTTGATCCGTAAGCCTTTTCAATGAGTAGGGGTATCTTTCTTGATTTTTTCTTATTTACTGAAAAATGTTAAACCTGAGAACGAGTTCTTTGGGCTCGTTTTTACCTCTCAAAGACAACCAAAATAAAAGGCCAAGTAATGCATTTAACATTTCCTTTTTAAATACAAATAATTCATAGAGAACAAAACTTCACTTTGAATTTGGACAGGGAATTTACGTGGTAGTAAGGACTCTCCGAGTAGCCGCGCAAACTGAGATCACTTACCCTTATTCTGCTGAAAAGAAGTTGATGTCTCTGCGGCACAATTTACCTTCTCTTGCGCTTCCAAGTTTAAATGACTCTTTAGTGACCAACCTTTGTCCATTTTATTTGGTTTCTTGAAACTGACACCAGAAACAAACCGAGTTTCACTTCTAATAACAGATCCTATCTCACATACCACATTGTCCAATAATCGAAAGGTCACGAGAATGTTGCAGAGCGTTTCATCACGGTCAGACCACACTATGTGTTTGTGGTTAATAGTTGTTGACATGAAACGAACGACAATAATCAAGCAAACATAAGATTTCCACCCTTAATGACGTCACCTCGCTTACTCATCGTAACAGCATTTGACCTGGTCTTAGAAAAGCGATTGTAGGAGTGAGAAGCGGAAATTTAGTGTAAAGCACGTTTTTAGTATTTATCCAAGTTAGAAACAAAAAAACTGCTAAATAGTGCGTCTAGGGGAAATTAAGCGAACGTTTTTCAATTAAGTTAGACATTTAGGATGCATACGACCTTTTCCATCCTAAAAAGAAAGTATTTGATCTGTAAGCCTTTTCAATGAGTAGGGGTATCTTTCTTGATTTTTCCTTATTTACTGAAAAATGTTAAACCTGAGAACGAGTTCTTTGGGCTCGTTTTTACCTCTCAAAGACAACCAAAATAAAAGGCCAAGTAATGCATTTAACATTTCCTTTTAAAGTACAAATAATTCATAGAGAACAAAACTTCACTTTGAATTTGGACAGGGAATTTACGTGGTAGTAAGGACTCTCCGAGTAGCCGCGCAAACTGAGATCACTTACCCTTATTCTGCTGAAAAGAAGTTGATGTCTCTGCGGCACAATTTACCTTCTCTTGCGCTTCCAAGTTTAAATGACTCTTTAGTGACCAACCTTTGTCCATTTTATTTGGTTTCTTGAAACTGACACCAGAAACAAACCGAGTTTCACTTCTAATAACAGATCCTATCTCACATACCACATTGTCCAATAATCGAAAGGTCACGAGAATGTTGCAGAGCGTATCATCACGGTCAGACCACACTATGTGTTTGTGGTTAATAGTTGTTGACATGAAACGAACGAGATATACGAGGGTTGTGAATAAAGCCCTTAAAACTGCATATCTAAATTACATCTCGGTCTGAATATCTCAATAAAGTTAAATGAAATGTAAATCGTCGCATTTTTTATAATTTTTAGCCTTCATGGGTCGTTTGAAGCATCTTTTACGAAATCACTTTCCGGCCAATATTTATTTAGATGTACAATTTTCAGAGCTTTATTCCTAACCCTTATAGATTTTGTTCGTCTCATGTCAGAAATTATTAGCCACAAACAGATAGTACGTCTTGTCATGAAATAGAACACGACCCAAGCACAAATGAGGTCATAGCCCTCGAAGTCCGTTAAATCCAAGTAAACTCCAATCCCCTCTAAATTACGTGCAAAATTTCTGACAAGTAAATCTGAACAATTTTTATTTCGCAATTGAGGGTTACATTTCCTGTTTCGCGTTAAATTAAGTACACCGGCCAGATTAGATATGTCGCATACTGTGTCTCCCGTGTCAGAAGGTTCTGGCTGCCGCTGTTCGTGTTTATCGGATATGTGGTTATTAAAACTTGCTTACACGAAAAAAATTTGAAGAATATCTGTAGTGACTCATTTCTAAAAATAATCTCAAACAAACATCTCAGCCTATTCAAATATTTGTGTTTTTAATTGGTCAATTTTGATTTCTATTCTTAGTTAACGTGTGCAACAGGTATATATACAGGCTCGTAGCTACACAACAAAGGGAGAAGAGTTCGTGATGCTAATGTTAAAAGTTGTACGTTACGGCTAGTAGTAATAGTCAATGGTCAGTAGAGTCAAAGTTCTGATAAGAACTTTGCTGTTTGTTAAGCGGTGTTGAGGAAGATGATTTTTTGTTTTAATCTCTTACACCGAGGGTAAAATTCTTGATCACGAGGGTTTTATCAACACGTTTTGGCTAATTTGCTTCGTGATGGCCTATTAATTTCTCACTTTAAGAGAGAATTTGGTATCGAATCAACCAATAATCCCCTAATTGATAGTTTTCTTCATTCTCATCACTTACTCACTTGATATTGTATTGTATTGATATTGTAAGAAGAAATTCTGTCTTGGTCAATGATGGCAGTTAAAGCCTTAACAGGGTTTGCAACTTGATTAATAGTACCTGAACTTTGACTAAGTCATCATATCATTTGAGTTAAATCTCCAGGTTTGCTAACTGGTTTAAAGTTTTTATCGGTTTCAGACCTGGCTATGATTGCACAACACACCTCTAAGAATGTATGGAATTGCCGAGGCAGTCTTTCCCGCTCGGTTGGCCGGCGTGTTGCTTTCATAGTTTCCCGATGATGACAGCAAGAATAATTTTAATTACCCAATGTATAAACTGTAACCCCAATGGTCCAAGATTTATATGTCGTGAAACTGATAAACCTAAAGGATACCAACTTACTGAAATGCTTTTTCCAATAATCATCACAAGGGCAATCAACCGCAGTTTCCATATTTTGTTCAGATTTGATCGTGAAGTATTCAACCACCGGGAATTTTAAAAACATTTACAAATCTTATATGTAAATCACCCACATAAGGCGCTTGGTTTTCCTCGTGTATATTCACTGTACGTGTGAACGCTTAAGAGAACACGCAAACTTGTCACCTACTTTCATTACACGCAAAAGTTTATGGCCGCCCCTCACATGCTATTTATCGCGGTATACTCCCACACTTCGAAGGGGTGTGATTGTGCTTGATCGCACGTAGAAATATAAACACTTTCAAAAAGTAAAATCTATCTCCAGTTTTTTTTTTTTCAGGATGTAAAAGCTTTTTTTAAGGATGAGAAAAGCGTCAATGTTCGCTAATTAAGCACGCAATTTTCATTCCCGTTTTAGAGACATGTCCTTTTTTACAGGTCAGGATTTTTCATACGGACGTGTCGGAAATCTTATGATCCAGATTGTAACCGGAAGATTCAAGTTAGTTTATGAAACGCTCTCGTTCTTGAAAAAACTAGAAACTCTGCTGAAACGCTGACGGGTCATATTCAACAATTTCGGGCTAAAAATTTCGGTACATAATGAAAACATTGGAATTGCTAGATGATTTTAAAAGGCAAAAGGTACTCTATTTGTCTTCTTTGAAATTGTCTTTGATTTAACATTCTCTTTTATCTAGCACTGAAGTTTTGTGGTGAAACCATAGAAGTCAATCAAATTTAGAAGATTCACGTCAAGATATTTTTGGGTATTTTCAGCGACAGCAAGAATTTCTTTCGTATAAGATGAAAACCTTGAAAAATAAATGCTTTGTGGGGGTAAAAATAAGCCAAGCAGCAGAATACAGGGTGATGTTTTTCTGGAACATAACTGACGAAAAATTTTTAAAAGCCTTGAATCCCAAACCGTGTGGTAACTTCTACAAGCTCTCAACTCGCCGGCCCGTGAAATTGTTGGAGACACCTATGAGTCAGGTTGACTAAGCTTACGACCGCGAGGGAAAGAATTTCCCTGGTCAAGCTTGAAGTCAAGAGAAGTGATAAATCTGAATTAAAAGGTTCACAAACTTGGTAAGAACTTCGAAGGCACAGGCGAGTGTATATGGACGGATTTGGTCGCAGTACGTAGGCGGAGGGATCACAATAAAGCTCTAAACATCTCAAAATATTATTAAAATTACAGCGGCCGCGAAATATCTGAGTGAAAAAGGAAATAAAAACGTGTCCTTGAGCAGTAAGTCTCTCGGATCCTGAGAGCTGTTGGCTTGCAACTTTGTCAACAAATCTGCTTAAAATAAACAAATCTGAAGACTTCCTAATAACTTAGACTCCAACATTGTTTTATCAGGTGTGAGTACTCTAGCTGTTCATCTAAATACACATTCAGAATGAATGATAAACTGGTATCTATACTACTGGCATCGATGCAGACCAAACCCTCGTAGTTTAACTGATTTAATCTGAAACAGGATAAACCTTGCTTTAAAATCAAGCTCAGGACAAAAAGGTATTTGGGAGTTAAATAATACAGGAATATGGGGTTTTCAGGTTTTGGCCAGTTTTGAGATCGATTTTTCAGTTTTTTGCGATAAAAATTTTCATTTTTCGCTGAAAGTGTACAAAAAAAAAATAGTATTTTTCTCAGTGTCCTGTTCTTGTGAGCCTCCTCAATTCACCTTGGTGCGGATACTTATTTTCGACGGTTTTTCGGTTTCAAGTGATTTATATTCCGGTTCTCTAGTTTTAATGGAGACCTTTCTCATATATTTCCAATTGTAATTAAGTATTTTTCAGTAATTAAACATCATGTTTATATAATTTATTGTAAGTGAGAAATGTGAAATCCCTCAGTTAAAGGAAATTTATGAGGCGAATATTCTTCTATGGATCTAACTGGCAACAAAATTTAGGACTCACTAATCGCAGCTCGAACAGGAAGTGTCATTGAGTTCTGCATGCGCCCTTGGGACCCGTAGTTAGAACGAGAAAAAAAGATGGACAGAAGAGGGGAGAGATCGTCCAGACTTGGCTAATATATGGAAAGATTTAAGATTTAAGACTTAAGACTTTAAGATCTTAAAGAATAAGGAAGTCTCCATGATAAACATCTCCCGAAGTGGGAGGGAGGAGTGGAGGGGGGAAGTGGAGGGGAGGGTGAAGGGGGGGGGGAGGCTGTTAACTTTCATGGTTGATAATTATTGGCAAGACGTGACCTTCCCTTTCTGTAAGCCTTTTGTCAAGCAAACAACCTACAATATCAGGTGGTGAGAACTCCATGACGATTTCTTGACCGCAAAAGCCATCGTTGAAAAGCTCACTTTTTTAAAATTTTTCTTATATCAAAGTAATCTTGTCAGCGGCTCTTGTATTTGGTCAATATGGGTCTTTACACCTCATTGATACAAGCCCACTGATACATGGGGGGGAGCAGCGGTATAAGCCATGTATAGTGAGTACCCTCTGTTTGACATAGTGTGCCCCCCCGCCACACTTTTGAAAAATCTTGGCTACGCCGCTAATTTTTGTTACGAATTGTGACATATTTAGTCTTTCATTGACGAAGAGAAGTGAAACGTATTCTTAGGACCCCTAGCAATACTTATTCATTAGTTTGAAAAAAATTACCTCGCTCCCGAAATTAAAAGTCCAATTATCGCTGCCAACGGTTGACGGTTAAATTTTAGGCAACTTGACTGCTGACAGTTTAACCCCATGAAGGCCCACTCCTTTCACTTAATTATCTTACATTGTTTGCGGCTTTCACGCAATTCGTTAAAAGCAAAAGAATATTCTTCCTCTCTTTTTCAGTCTTACATAATCAAATTTGTTTAAACCGTCCAAAGATTTGCCGCTTTTGCGAGGTGTGGAAGATGGGGGTGGGGGGGAGAGGAAGTAATCTTTAAGATTTCACAGACCAAAATGGAATGGTTATGGAAATCAGCTGGTTTGACACCTGAAATCAATATTTAAAGGAAGGAAACTGAGTATTTTTGATTTCTTGAGGAGATGGAAGATCAAGTTACGAACGTCTTGAAACTCAGATCCGCTCGTTCCGCCTTTACCGGACATAAGTAGGGGAAAGGACAACAAAAATATTGACAACCAGGAAAATTAAGAAAAAAAAAAGGAGATAGATTCCGGAAAGACTTAAAATTTTGTCCAAAGATAACGTCAAACGACTTGAGTCTGCGAAGACCATCCAAACGGTTACTAGTTTTGCTTAACCCTTTAACTCCCGGAAGTGATTAACATGAAACTTCTCTCTATAATATCCATACATTATTCAGCAAACAGGTCATGAGAATATTCGAACTTATCAGGTAGAAGCTGCTATCTTGATCTAGCACCAAATTTTTGCAACCAATTTAAAGGAGAATATGTAGCAGCTGGAGGAGAGAATTGACGATCAGATCTTGGGAGTTAAAAAGTTAATTCAAATAGGTCAAGATAAGAAAATGTGATGAAAGAAGAAAAATCTCCGAAATATGATTTTAATTCTTGGGATTCTTTCAAGAGCTACATCTTCCATTTATAATTGTATTTTCTTTCTTACAAAGATGGAAAAAAAAATTTATTATAAGTGGTTATCCCTTGATATGAGCACTTCTGGAAGACAAACGACGAACTTGATTGCCATTCTAATAATAAAATCAATTTATTTCGTCATTTGGTAAATAAACATCCTACATTAAAAACCAAATAACGAGTGAAAACATTTCACGTATTTAATTTCTGACAGGAAAAAGGTTTTTTTTTCCTCTACTAAAAAGAAACCTTTTACTTAGACCATGGGAAGAAGCTGATTAAAATGGGATCCTTCGATTCGTATGATTCGCTTAGCGCTCAGGAGCTCAGTGTTACAACATCGAGTCATATCATTTCCCTATGATTGCAATATTTAAAAGGAAAGCCAGCCACATGGTTAAAATTGGGGAATAATTCTACTTTAATAAAAGAATTCGTGAACGATTACAGACTTAATAATTACTCGTAATGACGGTAGTCACTGACGTATATGGGCCAAAAACAAAACTTCTCTTAGCCAATCGAGGTGCGTTGACGAGAGTTTTACGTCGGAAACTTCAACTAGTGACTGATCGGCTTTTACCGGTCCGTGGATGGAATGAATGATGATTTGTAAACGTTGCAAATGTAGCAGAGTAAGATTAAATCTTTCCCTCAGTGAGATGATTCAGTGTTTCCCAATGTTCTTCCCTGCAACGTACTTTTAAAGTGAATTGGCGGCATTTTGTTTTGAATAAGAGGTAACCAAATGATATTTTTCCTCGGATAATCCTATAATCTAAAACCTACAGTAGTTTTGAAATAGTCTTGGATATTATGCAGATAGCTTGATTTAATTTGTTTTGAATTTTTTTGTTTAAACCGAAACGAAGTAAAATGAATTTGAACTAATTTGGCATACAAAACCATTTAGACAACGATATTGAGGGTGAACTCCAACCTGATGTGATAATTTCTCAGAATTCCCGTTCGTCACTTTTATATTTCACCAAGACAGTAGATCGGACAGTGGAAAACTAAAGGAAAGTTACGGCCTCATGCGAAAGTTTGATTTGATAAGATTATGCAAGAACGTTGAAATCCTGCTTGAAATTAAAACCATCCCTGTGCCTGAAAATCATATAGGAAAGCCACGCGAAATGTACTAACTTAAGTCGTTCCATCACAAACCTATTCTATTCTTTATCCGAAATTTGTTCTTGAAAAGATTTTAAGGAGCACCTCAGAATCAGCTGTGATCTAAATATTAACAGTTTTGATTTTTCACTTTAGGGAGAAAAGTAACGATATAAAGCAAAAAGATTCTTTACGAACTTTAAAGCAAATTAGATGCTAAAGACAGTTTCTAAATCTGATGTTGATTAGCATAGCTTTTAAAATTTTGGATATTACCGCTCCCCCGCACTTATGTTTGTGGTTCTTTTCTTTCTTTTTTTTTTTTGAGAACAACGATTGCTTTGCTTTTAGTGTAATATCAGATTTCAGACAGAAAAATAGGTACGTATCCAGCGAAAAAAAAAATTTGCGGAGGGCGACATTTTCTAGACCATAAATGCGAGCCGCTTCTTTCGGCGAGAAATCGTTGCAAGAGTCAACAGACAACGGTAAAAATATTCCGGCGCCGCGTGAACTCTGAGAAAGGGGGCATTCACGAGGGGCCGGTATCTTTTTTTCTCCAATTTCTACCATCTTGCACAATTGCTCTCGGCCGAAAAACCTTTTCCTACAGATAAATTGATCGAGACTTGTAAAGGTTTTTAGGAGGTGAAATCCTTTTCTGCAAGTTTCACGCAATAGGAATCCTTGGCAAGTATCTTTGCCGCTCTGTCATAAAAACCGTGTGAGTGTAGAAGCGAAAAAAAATTCTTTTGAATTGTCTGATATCCAATTGTTTGCAGATGCAGCTTTGTATAACTACATTCGCTCTTTCGCTGATCGGCTTCTACTTCATCACTCATCACACAACAAATGCAAATTTCGAGGAAACAAGAGAACAAGCGAGAGAACACCGAATAGAAGAAAGGGCGGCAAGTAAGAGTGGAGGGGTTAAGGGTTGGAGGAGAAAGAGGAACGTTATAGGTGAGTTGTAAGCGTAATGAGGATTTTCCTGATCTTAATCCACCAACCGTGGGCTGATACAAACATCAAAACACACGCTTCTTTCCCAAGTATGTAGAGTACTTTCTACCGGAGAACACATCCAAAGTAATTTTGAGAAGGGAACGATCGTCATCGTTTATTCACCAATTTGTTTAATCAAGGAAAAAAAAACGGCAAAGAACAAGGCTACTCAAGATATTATAAACTGCTTATATTCCCTAACCATATCGAATATTTTCTTTGAGTCTATTACAACGGTCTGAGACAAAGTCTCTACGTCTCTTTCCCAACATTTCGTCACGCTCTCCTAACGGTTCGCCGCTGACTTTCTGGGTTGAGAACCGCACTGTAAGAGCAAGGTGTTTTGCCCAGGAGCACAACACATAACCTGGCCAGATCTCGAGCCCAGACCCTTCTAATCAGCTTGTGAGCAGAACGCGCATTTCTCCGATATTGAAACGTTTCGAGAAGAGGTTCTCCGGGAGTCTGGCACTAATTATGATTGCTAGACCCCTTGAAGATCTCTCGCTAACTAACGTTGCTCAAGGCGTCATGATATTCTGATGGGCAGATAAACCTTCCTACCGAGGCTTACAATAGACCCGTAGTTACGAGCGCTCCACCCTTTAAGCCCTAATGTCATTATGCGTATTTTCCGCACTGTTCTTTACACACTTCCTAAGATGTTAATGAGGAGAATCTGTTTACTGATCAAAAGCCTCTTTAGTTGGTAATCATTTCTTTCATTCTCATGACCTCAATGTGATTCAGGGGTGATATTGTGGGGAGAAACTAGATGCTATTCACTCTAAAGGGTTGACGTTACACCACAAATAAAAAAAACTCGAAGTTTTACAGAAAATGAAGTTAAAACAAATTGGCAAAAATAAAGAGTTACCTTTATTACAAGATCTTTCTAAATTTACATAAGTGTACTCAGTGAAACTTAACATTGAGAGTAATTTTTCTGATACACTCATTTATTTCTTTTCCACAGAAATGACTCCAAGACTTGACGAAAAAACTGCGAAATCCTTTGGGACGAAAGTAAAATAAGAAAATTGATTTCAGAAAAATATTTGTCACTGGGTTAAAGTATTACTTCAAATCATTAAATGCACAGATTTTTTTGGTACCGTGATGATCAGCAACTGATTCAAGTCTAAGCTCGGCTTAATCTCCATCAAAGAGTTACTGAACCCCATACCGTTGACGTCAATGACCCAGCAAATTTCACAGAAATCAAATCTTTTTTCTAATAATTCACGGCTTCTACTTCCTTACTCTAAATGAATATTTACATTTTATCCCTAAGCTAACTGACACTGTCCATTTTTTTTTTTTTTGGTTAAATTGATGGAGTCCAAAAGCTCTCCAGTTTCCCTCTAACATTTCTCACATATCTAGTGAATAACCAGTGCAAAGTAATCCCTCCTTCCCTCTGTGAGAACAACAATTTTATACTAGAGCATACTAACACCATAGCGGTCAAATGTCCACGCATGTGCAAAAGTTGAACAATAAAGGCGGTCCAACATCTTGCGCTAAAACTATCAGAACCATATTGTATTATTGAGTTAAAAACAACCACAAGAGTTAGCAAGCCACGGTTTTTAAATGCGTAGAACGCTTTTAATAAAGCTCTGTCGAAAAATGGTCAATCTACAAGATCCCCGATATTAAGGAACTTTCGTGTTCGAAAACCTTAATTTTCTTCCTTCCTTTTTTTAATATTTCTAGATTTTCATAAAAGTTGATTTGTTTTTCGCAAATTGTGTTTTGAAACCGGTGTTTTTTTGGTGTTTTGTTTTGTTTTGTTTTTTTTTTTTTTGTTTTCTTTTAAGTTTCCGGAAATGGCCGGGCGGTAGCGAAAGCTTAACTGATTTGCGCATGCCCGACGTTTGACTGCTGCGTGATCACACTGTTGCATAGTCTGGAGGCTTGTGGGGAGGATCGCCGGCGGAACTCGTAATCAAAGACAAATGTAAACCAGCATCGAGGCATTAGTTCAACGGTTGGCACTATGTGTATTTACACTGGAAGGCTCGAAAAACGAAACGAAGATTCTGAAATTATGGCATGAACAGAAACGCCAAAATTTCCGTACTGTTGCCACCTTTAAATGTCATGTGTCCCAACCGCCCCTCCTCTCCCCTCTCAAGAGAAAAAAATGTTTCAAACTTCATCACACATTAACACTCAATCGTAAGAGCTGGGTAGAGCAATCTGAGTTTCGATGTGTTACGTATTCGTTTGCATCCATACAAGTGAAGCATAGTTAATCTGAGGAGAGAAAAGGGGAGTAGGTAAACTCAGTCACTGCAAGTATAGGACAAAGCCATTTTTTAAGTTCTTCTCAGGACTTGAGTCGAGTGAATTTGAAGAAAAACTACCATACATACAAATAAATGGACAAACAGATGTAAAGAGAAGTAAACAAAGAACGCTAAGAATAGTAAGTCTGATGGCTCATTCTGAATTAAATTAGTTGTTGAAGTCTTTATAAAATATCACGAAAAATTAATTGGTTACATATCTGTAAAAAGAAAATGTACCAAACCATTGATGCTCGCACTTACCTTTTGCATTGTTTGGCAAGATGAACCACCGTATCATCAGAAATTTCTGTGCAGAAACTCAGCTTCAAATTACACAAACTCTGACTACAGTAGTTGGCGAGTGACAAGACGCTAAAAGTCAAACAAATAAACAAAAACAAACGAGTTTTCCTTTTGTACACCAGAGGACCGGTAATCACTCAGTCGTTACCATAAGGGGGGGAGACAGCGAGGTTGTTAACGCAATTTCGACACCGATCACGCCCTGGATGAGTTTTAATCACAAAATCATCCAATTGTAGCAGCAGAGGGCGTTCATAGACCGAAGGAGAAAAAAAATTAAGAACATCCCTGAGATTAACTTTTGTTGACTTGGTAACGTTGTACGGTTTTCCGATGTTACTAGGAAAATAATACGCCGTTTTAGCGATCATACATGAACGAGTGAACCGACCCCAAGAGAGAGTTAAAATCGATGGGCGATCTCGCTGGGATCCCAACAATAACTGATCAACTGACGTGGTTTCCACTATGTCACCCACGATATCATGATCTTGTAATGGCTGAATTGAGTCTGTTGTTTTTTAACCCCAAGTCCTAACCAACAAATGGAGAAGACCTTTTCTACCGCAGAAAACTGGGCGAAAAAAGGGTGCTATACTAATAAAAAAAAAATCCCAAGAAAACGATTTCCAAGGACTCGCCAAACCGTTAAATTCCTACAACGTACGTACATGTAGCTTCTCCTCGCAACATCACACTTCGGTAGAGTAAACAACTAATAAGAATCGACAACCTGATCAGCCACTGAATGTTATATTGATATGACAAAAAAATTTCTCCTATCTAACACACGAGGAGAGCTTCATGTATGGTGTCTCAAAGGGAGTATTAGAGTCAAAGGTTCATCTACCAACCTCTTGTGACCCACTCCAGTGGAAGTTAGGTCTAATAATTCCAGTTTGTGGCAGTTTTTTGAAAGAGCGCAGATACCTTTGTCGCTCACTCTTGAACAGCCGCATATATCAAGAGACCTGTTGAACCAAAAAAAAATTGGTTTACACATGAATAAAGGGGGTTAGTTTCTGACGAAACTTTGGTGCTGCGTCGGTGATGGAAGGTATCACTAGGTAATTTGGTTTGGCAACTGAGTTGATCATGTAAATTGGCCACCGTGAATAGTTTCAAGAGTAGACGTTTCGAACGTCAGACCTTCGTTACTTGCTCTGACGAAGGTCTAACGCTCGAGACGTCAACTTTAGAAACTCTTTATGGTGGCCAATTTACATTATCAACTTAGTTGCTTAAACCAAATTAAACTGGTTTACAATTGTACGATTTCACGGAGTGTACTCTATTGCAGATTAATGCTCACAGGTATAATTGACGGCTGTGTTTTAGAGAACCCTTTCAATTTGACCCTCATCAAACGCGGCAAATGAAAATAATAAATGCATAGAACACGACCTGGATTGTACCAACAGCAAATTTCAAGTCAGCGAAACACGTATTGTTACAGAAAGCGATCCCTTGAGGGCTTATTATCCATGAAACATCCATGTACTTATTTGACTCCACTCAATCTTATTACTTAGTAGAGTGCCTCACCTTATTCTTGGAAGGTTAGTGGCGATCTCTGCCAAAGACACGTCTGTAATCAAAGGGCAGTTAGCCAATGCAAGTGTGGTTATTAAAGGACAGTGACGGACAATCTTCTTCACAGCTGAATCGCGTACCTGGATACAAACAATCAGGAACGTTTAAATTCTCCAAAGAAGATACACTGTAAAAGCACCAATCCGATAAACAAGCGGTGACATTTTTGAGCTTTTACATATTCATTTGAACACTAGTATTTTACTCAGTGTTCAATTTAACTATGCAGAGCTATAAATATAATATTCTCCTCCTTCAACGGACATAATTCTACATGAACGTCCAATGACGTCGTTTTTAACGGCTAGAATAACAGAATTGTGTGTGTGTGTGGACATTTATCACCATTATTATTTTTTTCCTTTTTTACATGACTGGTTTTTATTAAAAAGCACGTTTTTTTTAGACCGAGTCTCACTTTTCATTCACTGATCTTTTAATAGAAAAAATGTCCCTACACTGTCCGAATGTGATAAGATTTCATAAGTCGGACATTATCCGATGACACAAAAATATTTATAGCTCTGAGCCTACATCTACATGTAAGTAAAAGCTGCATATACATAAACAAAAATATTAGAAAATCTGATGCAATAGGTCAAGAACTGTAGCGTACATGTTTACACCCTCGAAGATCAAGGTTCTCTAGTTCTGGAAGACTGGACACCAAGGAGCCAATGGCAGAGTCAGTGATCTGGGAAGAAACAAAACATGTTCAGTATTATGAGTAACACAAAACAGGAAGTTTGCTTATTTACTACGTATTAACTTCAAAACAGGTCGAGTGGATCCTTTGGAATCCATTGATAGTTTGCCTGAATCAAAATCATAGCAAAATGTAGGACGCTAGTCGCATAAGATTCTACAGCGGGAGCATTATGGACAGCAGAGCATTCACCACCGAATAAGAGTAATTTTCGAGTAGCGTTAAAGGAAGACTGCACTGGTTTCATTTCATTACTCTCTGGGATTGGTCTAGAAAGCTCTGACGATATCCAATCACTCAGACTCAAAACCAAACACAACTGCCACTCGGGTAACTCGCGTTTTTCCGCGCTTTAACCCTTTGCCTTCTAAGAATGATTAGCATCTAATTTCTCCTTACAATATCATCCCATCATCAAACAACAAGGACACGACAATGGAGGAGGTGGTCACTAACTGGAGAAGCCCTTGATTGTTAAACAAATTCTCCTAGTCAGCACCTTCGGAAATGTACAGAGAACAGTACAGAGAATATGCATACTGGCGTTAGTGTTCTACATCGTTCCTTACAAGGATAAGTAACACTCGTACATGTACCTTGTAGCACTGTCCAATGTTCAATGTCTGCAAATGCTTGCAAGTCTGACTAAGAAGCCTAATCCCTGCAGTAGTGATATTAAAACAGCCAAAAACTTCAAAAATTCTGAGGCTGCCGAAAAAGAAAAAAGAAAAAAAAAGGTTAACGTTGTGTCTACATCTGAACACGTACAGATACCATCACAATCACAAATTTTAACGTTCTCCGTGCATATCAAAGTGGATGGCAAGAACTACAGGTACACCCTTGAGCTGGATATTGGTAGTCATGTTAATTGCCCTCTTAAGAAACGAAGCGTGTGGAAAAAAACCGGACTAGTCCTTTATGGCAGGTCGTCGATTTTCTGCCTTGTGAGCGTTTTCTTTTGTTCTCTTTTTCTCTTTGGGTAATGCGGCAAAAGCCCCAATCAAGCAATGGACATGTACATTATTTTTCTCCTAATACTGAAAGCTGTTTAAGTTTCCCACAACTTAAATGTAGTGGTTTAGCAGGTGTAAAATTTGGAGCAAGGGGGGATGAACACACGTTCCGATGAATAAAGAGCTACAGCAGTGTATTACATGTAGTTTCGTTTTACTTTACTCTGTGATCGCGCTGTTAACTTGTACCACCCTATCAATAAATTACATGCAAAACTACAACTCAGTCATGTACGTGTACAATTTCCTCTGCTAAACCTTTTAACTCCCAGATCAATTTTGTAATTCGTCTTACTGTCAACCATACAATTCTTATAATGTTAGTTGAGAGAATTTAGCATCAGATCAACTAATTATCTCCAAATTAATACTCGTCTTTATTCTCATCACTTATCTGGTTGTATTGATGTTATAGGGAAAAATTCTGTCTTGGTCACTCATGGGAGTAACAGGGTTAAATTAAGGAAATTCAACTGTATGTCCTGTGTATGTCCTGTAGTTTGGTTTATGGGCACCTGCTTGAAAAGATTCCTGGTATTTGATTAACATTACTTCAATACATGTCTCCCTTAACTTTCAATCACACAGGGAACTTACCAACTGCCATGTTTGTTTGCCACACACTTTATAGACTGATCTGTAACTGCTTGGCAGCCATTCAGGCACAGACACTCCAACCTGTAGCAACATTGTATTAATTTACATCATGAGTTATCTACACGATGATAATGGTATACCACTTGTACACGTCATTTAACTCTTTAATTCCCAGAGGTGATTAACAACTAACTTCTCTCTATAACATCCATACAGTATCCAGTAAAAAGGTAACAAGAATACTCAAACTTATCAGATAGAAGTTGTTATCTTGATCTAACACCAAATTGTCGTAACTAATTTCGAGGGAAATATGCAGTAGCTGGAAGGGAGAATTGACAGTTAGATCATGGGAGTTAAAGGGTTTACATGTAGCCATGTGCAATGTGAGGGCCACATACAAAGTTACCTTCTATGTGACAAGGAACAGTAATCAAAAATATATGAACATTTGAAAATGTGAAAAAAGTAATCACTACTGAAATAATACAGTATACCAAAAAAGAATGGAAATAAATTGAAGATAAATGTTTGACAGAGATTTAAAAAGTTGAAAAATTTTAATGATGCACAGGTTCGAAAAAAGCTCCTTTGAGAAGTACAGTGTGTATACTCTGACTGAAAACCCTATACAATTTATCTCTCCCAAATTTTTCACATGACTTGTTTTTCAAAGGGCTGCAACCATGTTTGAGTTGCAGCAAACCCAATGAAAATTTTGTAAATAATTACATAATGTCAGTTACTTAATAAAGATATCTTCAATCCAGGTAATCTTTGTATTTTTGTATTTGCTTTTTGACAACAGAGACAAAAATTACATGTACATGGATATGTTTCCTGAAAAAAATCATATTTCTTCTACAGGAACTATAGCTGTACACATGTAGGTACAGCTGCACAAATATATTTTTTTTTAATCAGAGCACTTTGTAGTCACCTCTTTACATTATCTGCCAATGCTTGGACTCCATTGTCACTAACATTGCTCCAGCTGGCATCAACAGACTTCAGCCACTGACAGCGTGCGGCAACATGCAGCAGTATAGACTCACCAATCAACTCACTGCCACCACACCGACTGAAATTCAGCTCCTGAAGGTAGATGAAGAAAATTTGTTGTTACTGTGCACTGGATCATTAAATCCCTCTCCACAAATTATAAATTACATCATAATTATTATTACTGTACATTCACAGTTTGAACTGTTATATGGAATCCAAAACCAAAGTGACAGTTCTTTCGTATATTCTGGGTTACTATAATATTCATAATTCAATTGGAAAAATGCAACATGTACATCAGCACAGCTGTTTATAGATTGGCATGTAAAGAGCTACCAGAATTACACCAAACAACTAGTGGTGGCTATTTACCAAGCCACAAAGTGCTGACCCATCACAGGCCACTGGGGTAACTACACATGCAGTTGTTTTGTTATATACTAAAACAGTATGATGAGATAGCACAAAAAGATGATTTTAACTCATTAATTCCTGCAACAAATTACATTATTTTTGGGCATGAGTTGCTCAGAGGTTCTGCCCATTCAGAACGAACCTTCAATTCTGACCACTTTTTCAGTATACACTAAATCACAATATTAAAAGGAAACACCCTAACACAAAAATAATGAAATATGATTAACAGACAAATTCTCATTTATATCTTAGTACTAACAAAGAAAAGTCAACAACATACCTCTAATGAATCACAGCAGTTGCGGAACAAATCTCTCAGGCCTTTAGCTGTAACTTTGTCACTACGACATTGAGAAATAGTCAAACTGACGGGTCGACGCTGGCCAATAATATGTAACCATTCATCAGTTATGTTGTTGTTCTTTTTCACCACAATAACTTTCCCTAAAACCCAAGACATACTAAATTTAATCACACTTTTCAATCTAGCTGAATACTGTTGTGTATATTAACTGTGCACTTCACAAGTAGGTGCATAGAAAAAGCATTTGCAATATTCTAAAGCTTTTGAGAGAGGAAATTTTAATTCTTTCAGTGGCAATATAGAGGCAAAAACATGAAGAAAGATAAACAGCTCTTACACAAAGATTCATCCATGGAGATTCGATAAAACTGCCAGCACACTCGTGAACAAGATACCAAGTCTTTGTGTGGTAAAAAAGAGAAAATCAACAACACAAGCTCATCAGGAAGGTAAAGGTAAGGAACTGGATCACTGTCTCGCTGAGAACGAATCTGAAAAATGAAACAATTGCTGCATGGTAAAACAGAATCAAACAAGCCCCACATACATGTTACAAATGCTACCCAATCTCTATTTCCAGGACAGTCAGCATCTCTAGACTTCCAACAAATAAAACCAAAACAAGCTCACTTTCCAGTAATACACTACATTGTACAATTTCATCCCCAATCTTGAGCAACTTCCAAAAAGTGGTTTAAAATAATTGGGATTCCATGGTGTATGTGTATATGTATGTATTTCCAATCCTGATCCAAACATCCATGTATACTACAACCTGTAAGGTGCAATAATTTTCAAGGGCAGTGCATCTGGAATCAAAATTTAAAAAAAAACACATGCAAAAAAAAAGGACAACTTAAACAACTTACCAGAGTCAAAATCCTGTCATAACTTTCAACATCTGAAAAAGGAAAAGAAAACACTGTTGTTGTTTTCATTTATGTAAAGTATGTTGTACATATGTTTATACTGTACTTGCTCATTAGTTCTACATTGCACACCTGTACATCTACAATGCCAGACAAATAAACAGTCTTAACTACATGTAATGCATGTACAAGTATGTACAGATAGCTGTCATTCCTGTGAGCCTAAAAACACATCCTTTCATGTATTATGCCAAAAGAGGTTCTTCTGCCGAAGTATTTGTATACCCCTCCAAATGGTGAGGAGACTGAGTAAAAGGAGAAGTATCTTGCATGCAGAAAAATCCATTTTTTTAAATGTTATATTTTTTTTTATATATTTTATATATTTTTAACTCCTAAGGGCCGTGTTGCTTTAATGTCCACCCTTCCTTGTTCATTGTGGGGTTACCCTACCCCCACCTACTCCCACCTACCCCTACTCCCACCTACCCCTACCCCCACCTACCCCTACCCCCACTCCCTACCCAGCCACCCTTAAATCAATAAGTTTGTTTGGGAGTTCATAGACATCATTTGTACTCTTTCTGGGTTGAGAGAGGCACCACTAAATAAAGAGTCTTGCCCAAGAACACTACAAAAACCATGCCAGTAACCCTTTCACTCCCACGATCTCTTTAGTAATTCTCCATACTGCCTACCATACACATGTACAGTACATTGCTTGTACTTTTAGTTTGGAGAATTTGGTATTAGATCAAATAATAAATTGTATCACCTAATTGACATTTTTCTACATTCTCATCACTTGCCTGCTTGTTTTTCTATGGATTTTGTAAGGAGTAAATAATTATGTCTTGGTCATGGCTAGGAGTGAAAGAAAAAAAGATCCTTACCTTGTAGATTCAGAGGTGGTACAATAGCCTGGGCCACTTGTGACATGGCAGGCTTTGACTCATTGTTCAGAGATGAAACACTTGAGCTCTAGAAACAGAATAATTTAATTCATTCATTCATGAAAGAAGTTGAACCACCAATACAACAAAGGGATCTTTAGATCAATAACAAAGAACATTATGTGCTCCGACTTCTTCTTTTACCACAATTTTTCCACCAAATAGCAATAATTTCCTCTCTAGATATTCAATATTGCCACCTGAACAATGCAAAATAAAGATTACTTTGATTTAGAAAAATTTAAAATCAACAAATAGTTTAAACATATCATACACACACTACACACCTTCAGCAGGCTTGGACATGACTGAGTTTCCAGAGGAATTTTCCCATCAATGTTGTGTTGTGCTTTCTTTGTTCTTCCATTCTGTTTCCCAACAGAAGGACTCCACCTCTCCACAACACAAGTCCTAGGATTTTTTTCTCTCTGAAAGTCTTTCACCAAATTAGTGTTTGACCTTTGATCAGGTCTTCTTCTTTCATCTTCAGCTCCAAATGAGCTACAACTCACTGTTCTTTGCCTTGTAGATCTGTTTCGACCGTGTCTCTTATGTTTGCCAACTTTCTCATTTGCAGAACATGACACAAGATCTGAAAAGGAAGTTGTTCTATTCCTCTCTTTCATGTTGCCTTGTTCTTTGACAAAGGAGGGACTTTTTGAAAGTTCTTTTGAATGGTAACTACTCCATGCAATACTGGAGCGTATCCAGCGACGTTTGTAGCCATGTGGACTAGAGGAGTACTTGCTCTCTTGTAAATCATTGGTGCTTTGAGAGACTTGCAGAGAAAGACTGGATATGTCATTATTCAAAGAGCTTTCATCTTTCAAAGCCTTATCATTTGGCAAAATGTGAGACAAGTTTGTTGGTGTCTTCAAAGTTTCCTTAATTAAGGCTTGGGTCTCCAGACATTGCTTTTCAAAGTGCTTTTGCTGTTGGGTGGTTAAACAAGATGCTTGTATACAAATTAGTGCTGTACCACACTCAATACACCAATTAGCAGCCCTGCTGTTGACTTCATCACACTTTGGACAAATCTTTCCCATGACATTTCCTGGATTTTCCCCAGGCTCTTTAATCCTGTCACTTTGTTTGAGATGATCACTTAAACCAGCCACACTTTCATCACAAACTTTGCTTTCCATTGTTGGGACATGATTTGAATTTGTCACAGTGGCTTCCTCCACTAAACCATTCTTCAAAGCAGTTGGTGAACCTATGTCTAATCCATTTTCTCCATTTGTAACATCAGATGATCTTCTACTCTCTCTTGAATCCTTTCTATATTTTGGAGTTCCTGATTCTTTGATAAACTCAGTCAGTTCCACAAGAATTTTGTCTTTGCCTCTCTTAGGCTTGGCTTTTCTCTCTTGTTTCTTGTGACCATTTTGTGGCTGCCTTCCATGTAAACTTTGTTCCCTAACAAGAGGATCTTGCTTTTTGACAACTTTACGGTAATGAACATCATCACACTTAGAGCCAAAACTTAACAAACTACTCTCAGAATCAGAAGTTTCAAAACCATAATAGAGTGGGCCATTTATCTGTGGCTCAGTACAACTAAATCCATTTGAGACATGTTCTCCATGAGAAATTTGTCCAGGATTGTAATACACTCTGTGTTCTTCTGAATAATATCCACTGTCAACAGCATTTAATTCATTCCCAAATTTGCCACCATGATCATCCTCAGTATAACGTAGATATTGATTTTTGCGGGGACTTTTGGAAATTTTGATGGGTTTACTTCTCTCACAGCTTGATACTTTACCACCAGAGTGCAAATAATAATTCCCCTTATTATATTTTCCTGCAAATGAGCTTGAAAGGCAGTCATCTTTCCACGCTGGCTTCCTGAGATATGCGTTTATATCAAGCTCTCCAGAATGCACAGCCTCTTTTAAGCCCCATAACTCCAGTCTAATGTCTTCTTCATCATGATCCACTCCTGTCACTGGAGGTGACTTATATGGGTAAGGCATGCTGGTACCCTTGTCAGGAGGTAACGAGAAAGGCGTTTCTGACGATCTCGACTGATACATCCCATCAAATGAATCCTGTTTCTCGTAACTGTTGTACTTTGAAGTTAAATCAAACTGCTTTGTACTTGAGGAACTACACGTACGAGCTTCTAACTCGGGCGAGTTGTTGCCATTAATATTGGTCAAAACATTACGGTTACTGTCGTGCAATAAATCTTCTTCCCTCCCCTTCGATCCAAGACTGTTGTCGAAGAAAGCTAAACGCTTTTGGCGAATAAACGAAACGTTCACTCTTGGAGAACTATTAGAACTTGTTTCTCCGTTTAAGACTTTCTCTGGTCCTCCATCTCTAGGTGATTCATTCGACTGGCAAACTTTCGATTTATATTGTTTTGACGAACGTTCGAAAGACGTGACATTCTGCACGAGAGCATCTCCACTACCTCCATTAACTGCAAACTTCTGAAAACTCAAAGAAATGTTTGGATCTTGATGGCAAGTTCCTCGATGACGAGAATTAAACACTTCGACTTGACAATTTTGTTCACAAACTTCGTGATTTGCATGAATTGGCTTAACGTTTGATCCGAAAGAAGTTGTGACGACAGAGGAGTTTCTGACATCATCATCTGGTGTCAGAATGGACTTTTGCATTTTCGTTATCAAGTTTGCGGCCAGTGCTCTCGCTTCCTCGTCGCTGATATTTTCCATCCCATCATTTCAAAACATGTATCTATATAATCCCCAGGATTTGAAACTTTTGTGCCATTCGACAGTAAATTATTGAAAGTTGTCATGGTCACTGCGCATGCTTTGCAAAAAGACCGCTGACAAGTAACCGCCTTCTTTGCTCGAAGTCCCGGAAAGGCGGGAACTTCATCGAGGGATTAGGGTACGGAAGAAGGTGTCTTGTTGATGGTTAACGTTTAAAAAAGGAAAAATTAATGAATAGGAAAAAATATATATATTGAAAAATTAGACTATGAGCTCGAGATTTCTATCGAGTGTTACTGAAATGTGCTGAAGCCGTGATGCCGTAACTTAAATCAATTATAACGTTTAGAAGTCAAGAGCAAATAATGTTGTTGTATGTGCAAAATTCTACTAGTCGTTGACCTCACACATGCTCGCGTAGTGCAGGGCCTCATACTTGACCGCGAGCAACAAAACTCTTGTGCCGAAGCGCTAATAATGAGGACCTGTCGCAGAAGAAGGCTGTTGCTGCAACGATCAGTGGTATTTTCTACAATGTAGTAGACATGCATCTAGAAGACTGGTGGTGTGTAGAAGTATATTTTAGTTATTTCGCTGACCGCGTTTTGAGATTCCGAAGTTTGCTCAATCTATCAAAAATCACTGGAGCTAAAAGTTCTCCTACACGGAAGTCAGCCTGGCCGCTTACCTGTGACGCAAATGATCACATCTCTCGACGATCTTATTAAACAAGGAAGTGTCCTACAAAAAGACCCAGTTGACATAACTTATTGTTTTTGAGAAATAGCCGTAACCATTCGTGACGCGGCTGTATTTCAGATGTTTGCAAAAAATGGCGGCGTTCTTAATCGAATATTTTAGTAGTATTTCAAGACAACTTTAGAACGGTTAGGTTGCGGAATCTCAAAGAGGGATAAGAAATAAATTTTATCATTTCTCATTACAAAGGTAAAAATATGTATGTTTTCTGAAACATTATTTTAATTTCCTCTCCCTACCTCGAAACCGTAGTCTAAAATTTTCAGTTTTGTTCAGTATAAAATACTTGTTCAGACAAGAGAATCTCTGACCTCGTTCTTTTTCTGAAATTCTTTTAATCCCTTCTTTTCACCCCTGCCGGTATTGCCAGACCCTTACCCAAGGGTACCCCTCATTCTTCACCCCAGTGTACACTCTCGTTTATACCTTGGTCCGCTCTTGCCGTCACCACTTTTATCAATATATCTCATTCCCTTCCAAACCCTTTAAACCTCTTCAGGTTAAGATATGCAGACGGTTCACCATTTGAGTGGAACTCTGAATTTCACGTTTATTTCACAACCTTACACTATTTACAATATCAAGAGTCTATCAACGTATACGTAGTAGTAAGCCGCTTTATATGTGGCACGATAATAAGCTTTGAGACAACCACCCTTCAGACTTACACGTTGCGTAGCTCGTTCTGTTTTATATCTGCAGAGTTTTGCTCTCTAAAATAATGAACATTCAAGTTAGGGATACTTTTCTAAAGCTTTGAGAACATCCTTGAGGCTTCAAGCAGTTAGTTTCCTTGTGAGGACTACAAAAATCTTGTCACAAGGAACAAGATTTGATTATATAAACTTTAAAAGTTTTAGCCCAAGTAATCCTTATTCCCCAGATTAAAACGACATTCATCTGTTTCTTGGGCAAAACACTTCACTCTCACACTACCTCTCTCCAGCCAGGAGTATGGATGGGTAACAGAGAATTGTTAGGGAAGTCTGATGAAATGCCGAAGGGTAGCCTTTCGATGGACTACCATCCTATCCAGGGAGCAGTAATAATACTCCTTGTCGCTTCATGCTACATGAAAACCAGGATAAGCCTTGGCTGGGTGGGCCAATAGGCTCCAGTACATACTTAACGTTTACACCTATACTTGGTATTCCAATTTAATTTCTATAACTGTAAATAGGGAACAATTTATAAAGGAAAGACCATTCTCAAAGCTATGGATAGGGTAAGTGAGGCAAAATAAAAAAACCATATCGGGTCGAAGAAGGCGAAAAAGACATTCGAATGACTAATAGAGAAAAAGTTCATTTGTTGTCCTTTAAATCGTAAACAATTTCCAGCAAAAAAGCAACATAAGAATCTACTTTACAAATTCTTGAGGGTCCATAGGGCACCTCAAGATACCAACCCCATAGCCCTAAATCTAATGGCTCTAAAATTGACGAAATCTCGTGAAATGAGAGAGGATCAAACTAAGAGACTATAAAAACCGTAGAGGTCTTCATTCTTAAAAATTTGTCTCTCTCTCTCTTGAGTAATTTTTAGATTATTGGTGATTAAGAAATCTCTAGAAGACCTGAAAATAGGAACTCATGAATTGCGAATTTTTCTCAACTCTCTCTCTTGAGTAATTTTTAGATTATTGGTGATTAAGAAATCTCTAGAAGACCTGAAAATAGGAACTCATGAATTGCGAATTTTTCTCAACTGATCAACCCATGCGTGCCTAATTATTTGTCGTGTGCAAACAAAACGCGAATTACAGGAAACAGAATTCTAGGTAAATTTTCTTGAGTAAGAAAATATTATACAACAAAATTGAAATTTATAACCTGCACAATGATAATAATAACTTCAAAGGGATTTTCTGTTAACTCAGTAAACCCGTAAGGAGATTTAGAATTTTCGCTTGAACCTCAAGCATTAAGTTTCTGAGTTTTAGTTATGTGAATAAGACATAAAATATAGATAACTAAATATTGATACCTTCCGAAAACAAAAGTGAATGCTCAGACTTAGTAATCCGCTAACGTGAGAATGTTTGATGCAAATCTAACCAAGAATCCAGCTGCAGCTCAATGACACTATGAAAATGAATACTACTCTAGGCATGACAAACTTCTGAGTGTCTCGTTCATCGAACAAAAGGTTTTGGTTCTTCAATGTTTGACAATCACACTGCCATGGGTTAGCGTTTTTAATTCAGACCAGGCGACGACGGGACCACTTGGTATCCTGCAGTTTGTGTACTGAGCAGCAATTTCGCTTTCGGACAGAACCCGGTCCCACATGTTGACTTCAGCCAGTTGAGCATTCAGTGTGTTCTCCAGTTGAAAACCTCCTCCAAAGGTGTCTTGATCTTGCCCGAGCACTAAATGGCCTCCAGATCGGACTGTGTATCCCACTTCAAAACCCCTATGTTGGCCTTCAAATTGACCGTTTTTGTACAGTTTGAGTTCACCATAAGTATTTTCCCAAGTGAAACACAAATGATGCCAGGCACCATCATAGATCAAAGCATTGAAACTAAAGAAAATTCATATTCATGAAATGAGTAATTCATATTTTCTTCATTCACTGCTCAGTTTGTTTCTTTCCTAATCATCCATCGCTTCATTCGTTCCAGTATCAGCCGTACACCCATTCACCCACCCACTCACCCACGCGTTCACCCACCCTTCCTCCCCACCTACAAAGAAATAATAACGTTTGAATAAACTCTTCTGGTCCAATTTTAAGGAGAAGAGAAACAAACTAAATGCTCTCACGGGATGTTTAAAATTATAAATAGTACGACCCCAACTACTTTTAACGATGTCTTCCCGAGTAATATCGGGAGATCGATATGTAATCTAACCTCACCAGTTGTTAAAACAGATAACTACCGGAACAGTTTTGCTTACACCGGGGCAAGTCTGAAATAAATTCCTAAACAAAGTGAAAAATGAGAAATCCAAGATAGCTTTAAAAGAAAATTAGATAGTAGATTTCTTCATTTTTAAAATAGCATCTTAAATTTTATCTATGGACAATTAATAGACTCATTTGTATATGCTCGTAAAACTTGTCAATGCTTTAGAAGCTTAATCGTAATTCTGTAATTCACATCGTCAGGAAAGAACAAAAGTGCCACATGGTAACCACATTGGAGGATGGTCATGGTAATAACAAATCGCTGAAAAAGGTTGAATTAACTTTCATTATTGACCCGATTTTAAAAAAATCAAATAAGAATTACCTGGCATGTTCGTCATTGATGCCGAAAGCTGTCTCAGTTGGAGAACCCTCGGCATAAATATCATTGTCATCGAGTTTGGCATAGCTGAAGATAGATTGCAGTTCTTGATCTGCAACAACTTTTACAAAAAAACACAGTGATAACTGGCTGAGGTCCGATGGTATGGCTGGATATTTCATGGCATAGTTTTCAATGGAACGCGGCGCAGGAAATACGAGTAAGTATCCTATAAGAAAGAGTTGAAAGTGCATCGGGCAGAATGCGTGGACATCATTAATTATTCATAAGCGATAAAGTGGCAAATGTGAACGCGACCTCGCTTTGAAGAGCTCTAAATTACAAAAGGAAGGGCCAAAATGGCCCACTAGGCTTCATAAAACTCACTTTTCTGAGTTTAAGAAGAGCTTGCTTCTAAATCAACGTACGGCTTTTGTAAAATTATAGATCCATCTACAATTTGCGCCTAAAATGAATGATTTTTTACTAAGTAGAAACATTATCCTTTTCCACTTGAAAATACTTAAAATTCGGTCGTTATTGGTGCGAAAGTTATTTTCAAGAGAGATTTTGCGAAAACCCTTTAGACGGTCTAAAATGGCTTTCATGTTTAACAAAGCATTCACCGCTAATTTAGTGGAATAACTTGAGTGCTTAACCAGTGAAACTGCTCTCCCTTCCCTTCTTTCTACAGAATTATCAAAGAATCTCACGAAATCCTGAGTAAAAATAATAGCTTCCGCATTAAGGTGATTCCTCAGAAATAAAATTTATCGAACCATAATTTGTGAAGCTTTTCTTGAAAGTTCTCCAGAAATCTATATTTCGAGAACAACAATAAAAAAGACAGGTTACCGAGCCTGCCAACTAGTTGTGATGGGCAAATCTTACCCAATTTATGCCTGCACTGATACTAATACTAACGTTATTTCATCGGTTCACCGTACATTTTGCAGTAGTCGGAGGCAAAGGTTGAAAAAACACCTGATAGGTAAAAAGTCTATAGCGTAAGTAACTATGAAATATACAATTTAAGGAAAAATCACTCAATTTCTAGCGACATCGACTCAAAACGTTCCTCAAGTCCTCGCTTTCAAGGTCATAATTTGCATCCTCGAGTACCGGGCTTCGTGCACGCTTATTGCTCTATCTTTTTTTCCGCTAATTCTTTGATCATTATTTTTTTTGATTCAATGGAATAATTTGTATACCGAAATCCATTAATAAAACACATAGGCCACCGTGCTCGTTCAAGAGCAAAACACCATCGTGCCTGTTCTCTTCGCCCATCGATGGAAAAAATAATACTATGTTCTCGGAATGCGCGCCCACTCATTTCCCGTATTGCACGATATTATGAGGAGTTCAGGATGCGCAGTGCAATACTGAAGAATCACTTTAATATGATAACTTTGTGCGGGGTGGTCATAAAGAGAAGCACACTACAGCACACATGGTGGAACCTGTCACTAGGTTCCGTTAATAGTGCATCTCAATGTGGCTTCAGTTGTTCTCACTTAGAGCTGTAATTTCTTGGAATAAAATCACAGTGTTGTCGCTAGAAGTTTGCTAGTATGGTTATGTTAGAGCAACACTAATCAATGGGAAGGGTTTACTTTTTCGCTTATTAGTTAAGCATATCGTAGGAAGAATATTTGTGATAGGAATGTACATTGACTTACCTATGTCACACATTTGTTTCCCTTCTGGCCCTGATAAACAACTGCAGTTGTGATCGACTGCTATTAAACAGATGAAGACAACGGTTAAGAAAACAATAAAACATTCAAAATCATTTATAATCTTCAAATACCTTAATCGTATCTTTATGATTTTTATCGAGTCTTTCATCATATAAGCGATTGTCTTTTAGGAAGTTTTTTCAATTGAGTATTGAAAGTGATCCCCGATGGCGTTAATGTTGCCTTAATTACCCCTGTGATTGGTCTAGGAGCTTGAATCAGGAAACTCTGATAATCTCCTTCGCTGCTGTTTTTTTATGATGTCACGCAACGATCCCTACCAAAGAAGGCCTCGTGAAGCCTTCGGTGACAAATGGAATTGTGAAAACGCCAACGAAAAAATCATATTTGTAGACTTTCTGTGATTATGACTGATGATATAAAAATTTGAAAAATAACAACTTAAATGATAAGAAGAGAGAGTTACGCCTTACTTTTTTCACAATGGTTTCCTTTGTACGATCTCGTACAGCGACAAATATAGCCATTTGTTTGATACAGTGGTACACAAGTTCCGTTGTTCTGACATGGCCAACTTGAGCAGGGAGACTAAGAACAAGAAAATCGTTCATTCTCAGTAGGGCCACTTAAAACGACAAAACCGCGACGATTACGTCCAACACAAGCCGTGGTTCATATCAGGGAGTGGAGCTAAAATACGAAGGGATGATGGTGATCTATCATTTAAGACAAACGCCCCTGTCTTGACATGAGGCTTCGTATCTCAGTCGTAAGTATCTCATTTATGCGACTAAACCGCGACGATTACGTCTAACACAAGCCGTGGTTCATATCAGTCAGTGGAGCTGAAATACGAAGGGATAATAGTGATTTACCATTTAAGACTAACGCCCCTTTCTCAAAACTAGGCTTCGTATCTCAGTTGGTAGTATCACGACAAAACCGCGACGATTACGTCCAACACAAGTCTGCGTGGAGCTAACATGCAAAGGGATGATAGTGATTTCTTACGGAAGACTAACACCTCGCCTCTCAATATGGGCTTGTAAGTTGGTAGAAGGATAATAGTTCATTTACCGAGTTCAGACTAACGTCAGCCTTCTTTTCTGTAATTTATTTAGCTGCAGCTCAACTGAAATGTCATTAATTTTCTTGTATCTGTGAAATTCTCCTCATCTCATAATGATTCGAACCTTTCTTAATTAACAAATAACAGCGATCAGTGGTCGAAAAAGACATTATGAAAATACATATGATATTCTTTCGGTTTATGATGATTTCCACATGATCAGCTTATAACGAAGTGCTGATGCTTACTCAACTTTACTTTTTTCATGTACAGAAAGACATTAATTTATTTTTGATGCTCAGACATATCACACCACGATTACCAGAGATTAGGAACTTAAACTTATACAATACGCGCATTGTGCAAAAAGTTAATGAAGATTTTAAGTGACTAACACCTACTAGTTAGAGATATCCAATTCAGTCGGTCACCTCAGTTCTTTTTAATCTTTTGACCGCGCGCGATCTGGCTGCGAACATGGAACGAGATTTAAGTGTCAACATGCAAAACAAATATGGCATGCAAAACAAACATGGCAGAAGGTGTGTTAAGAACAATTTAACACAATACAGTATTTATATATTGGAATCTAGGGTTTCCAGCAAATACAACCGTAATATTCATAGGCCTTCTACGCCTGAAAAAGAGGTCAACCAAAAAGAAAACACCGTGGGAAAGATTGCTAAAAGGCGACAGATTCGAAAGTCTACGCATGCTCGATTGTTATCTGAGGAGGTGTGTTAAAAACAGTTTAACAAAATATCGTTTTTATGTAATGAAATCTAAGGTTTCCAGCAACTGCACGCGTAATAGCGGAGCTCGCAGAGCGTAGCCCCATAATGATACAAAATAGTAGTAACACATCAAGCCGAAAAAATTTGGATGTACGACCGTACGACCGTACAAGGTGCTACTATTAACACGCGTGGTCAACTGTACCGCGGGCACGCCAACGCCACGGCTTTGTTCAATAGTCCAGTGGTCAGTGCACTGGGCTCCGAGTCGGGTTCTAGTCTTGACCAGGGCAAGGCGTTGTGCCCTTGAGACGCGCGGGAAAAAAAATGCGAGCTCCGCTTTTAGGGTCGGCTAAATCTATATATTATTTATAGACCTTCTACGCCTGAAAAAGAGTTCAACCAAAAAGAAAACACCGTGGGAAAGATTGCCAAAAAAGGCAACAGATTTGAAAGTCTACGCATGCTCAGATACCGATCTTGGCAAAATTCTATATCATTACGTTCGAGTAAGATTTATCGCGTATTCTTCTGTGGAATTTCCTCAGTAGGATTTGCCGGACTGTTAAACATATTTGTGCCCTTCCTAGTGCCTGTTCATAGAAAAAATTCATAAGACCAAATTTGAGATAGAGGAAGAAAACACAAAATTGCAAAAAGTGAGGGAACTGCGTTTGTAACCCCTATATTTTTTTCGGCTTTTAAATGATCGGCAGAACAATTTTCACAAATTGTCAAAAATTTTGATAGATTTCACCGAAGGTAATTGAAGAAAAAATCAAAGGCAAAGCAAAATTATTGCTGGCGAGCGCCTCCCTTCGTGGAGCCTTAGCTTAATAACGAAAATCATTTTGATAATATTTGCCACAAAAAACGATAGTCCTAACCTTGCTCGTTGCCTTTTGATGGCTCTTAATGACCTTGAAAAGTGAAACAAAAATTTTGTAGAAAAACATAACGCTGGCGCGCGCGCCTACACTGAGCAAAAACTCTATGGGGCCTCTTTAAACAAACTTCACTTTTTTTCAGGGGAAGTACAACTGCATCTTTCTCCTCTTTTTCTTCTTTTTGTGTGTGTGTATGTAAATTAAGACCTGATCTACAAAATTGTTGATGAAGTTTTGAAATCGCTGACAACTACTTTGAATAGATATCTACACTACGCTATCTCCTCTGAAGCTCCAAAATTTCGCCCGTAGTCCAATGTTGGCTTAACTAGTTCATAGACTAACCCGTGTTTCTTTCTCAAATGCTGCATGTAAGGTTTTGCTGGTTTCACATTTAAGAGTGCAGCAATTTAAGATGTCACGAGAATTTCCAGTCACTACAAACATTTGCAAGTCGCTGAATGGCAGATGAACTACAACTTACCAATCGACTAAAATGGTGAAAAGAAACATTCGCCTTCAGTTCCGTTCCGGCTCTGTACATGTCCGTGTCCAGCAGTTCACAAATGTACCAACCATTATCTGGATATGCTGCCAGGTTATACGAAAAGCATTCACTTTTAGCTATGCATTTGAACGGGCAATGATATTTGTCGTTAATGAGAAAAGATGCGATTACTGATGTCGAAAGATGTTTTTGAAGAACAGCCATAAAGTTTCCATACATCAATTCTCGGTTTCCCGATCGGAGCAAATCGCCAGGTTGAGAGGACCGACCATATTGAGTGATGGTAGAAACCAGAATAAATGCGAAAATGAAAACAAAACTGAGGAACGCCATAGCCGGGAAGATGAATGGTTTGGCTTGAAAAGCCTAGAAATCTACTAAAATTTCCCTTGCAGCCTTAAAGCAGCTGGCTTTATCAATTAATCAGACAGTATTTTTTTAGATTACTTTAAATAGACTGTTAATGATAATCAGTATTTGCCGGTTTCTGTGATAACCACAAAACTTTATAAATTTTGAATGAATGAAAAATAAGCTGCATCTTTTATCAAAGCAAACCAGAGGATGTACCGCATAATTTCTGGTTTTATGACAAAGTCAAAGGTTTTGGCAAGACTATAACCCAGACGTCAGTTCCATTTGCTGTGGAGCCAAACTCCGGCCAAAATCATTATAAATTCAATTTATTCGGCTCAGTCGGAGCAACAAAAAGACACCAATTATCGAAGAAATTTCATCCATTCTCTAGTAAAACAAAAGGTAGCAGAATCCTGTCTCTGAAATGCGACTGTTAATTCTTATTATTTGTTTTGACTTGTATATCCTTCTCCGAATTTTATTACAAGATGATTATTAAGGTAAGATTCTACCTTTGAATACCGTTTCGCGGTGCAATAAACTCCTACTTATTTAACCCTATTAGTAAGAATGATAACTTTGTAGCACTTAATTAGAGAGTTGGAATAACTAGAGAATAATACATGGGCGCGCGTAGATGTGGAATTTCTCTTCGAGTTGAACACGAGAAGAGAAATCCCAAATATACATGCAAACCATGTATTATTTTGTTTATCATTTAAACACAATAGCCCTTTCCCGACAAGAAAAGCCGACTTCATTAATGAATGAATATAAATGCATCATCAATCCCCAAAAAACAATCGTAGAGTGCGTCGGCGCCAACTCTTAAGATGGAAAAATGTGTTGAGTCATGATTACAAAAAACAACAATGGTCAGAGTTTTCAATTTACAAAATTCTCATTTATTGACTTTGTCCTTTCCGACAGAAGTCTTTTAGGTAAACGGCCAAAATCGGCCAGTGGCAAATCTTCCAGTTGTCGATTTTCATTCTCAGCCGCGAGAAATGCCAACACCAACGCCACTGATTACGTAACTTTCGGTTTTTCTTTTTGTATATTGGTTTTTCCCCCTTCTAGGAAAGTTTAAACCTCACTGTCTGTCAGCAATACGGATATTTTAGTGTTTTAGCCGACACAATCCAAGAAAGTTCCGATAAACTACCTTGTATTGAGAATCGTGAAGGCTTTGCTGTTCATTCATCAATCTGACCAACACACGTGAAAAAATACGATATTTTTTCACGTGTGTTGTTACGGCTTTTCCTAGGGCCAGAAATCCCTGTATAAAGCCGCAGTTTATGTGATAAGTAAGATTCTTATCTGTCTTAACAGATTGAACAATTTTAGATAACATAATTAGTTTACGGGGAAAAAGTAGCCAATAAACTTTAGTACGCAGTAAAGGATTTAAAAGTTTTGTTGCATTGCAAGTTATACGAGTGCAGTACGTTTTTGTTATTAATACCAACAGTTTAGAGAGAATTTTATTACGAATTCGAAGGTATTGTAAATACTTTAAGACATCGTAAGTGTTGCAAATTATGTTCTAGGCGTTTGATTTTTCCGTTTGCTCATGATTGCTAGTGGAATGAATTTAGTGGAATGGACTGTCGAAACCGTGGTCTGGAAATTGCAGTTTTGCTCGGTATAAAATACCTGTCCAGACAAGAGAATCTCTGACATCGCTCTTTTTCTGAACTTCTTTGAATCCTTTCTTTTCACCCTTATCGCTACTCCCAAACCCTTACCCAAGGGTACCCATCGCTCTCCTTCACCCTGGTGTACACTCTCGTCTAGACCTTGGTCCGCCATCGCCATCACCACTTTTAACAATATATCTCATTTCCTTCCAAACCTCTTTCAGGTTAAGATATGCAGACGGTTTACCATTTGAGTAGAATTCTAAATTTCACGTTCATTTCACAACTTTACAAAATTTACAGCATCAAGAGTCTATTAACGCATGCGTAGTCGTAAGCCGCTCTACATGTGGGTCGATAATAAGCTTTGAGGCTACCAACCTCACTTACACGTTGTGTAACTTCTTCTGTTTTATATCCGCAGAGTTTTGCTCTCTAAAATACTAAACATTCTAGTTAGAGATACTTTTCTAAAGCTTTGAGAACATCCTTGAGGCTTCAAGCGGTTAGTTTCCTTGTGACGGCTACAAAACTCTTGTCATAAGGGGCAAAATTTGGTTATATAAACTTTAAAAGTTGTAGCCCAAGTAATCCATATTCCCCAGATTAAAACGATATTAATCTGTTTCTTGAGCAAAACACTTTACAGTCACACTGCCTCTCTCCAACCAGGAGTATAAATGAGTAACGGGGAATTGTGAGGGAAGTCTGATGAAATGCCAACGGGTAGCCTTTCGATGGACTAGCATCCATTCAGGGAGCAGTAATAATACTCCTTGTCGCTTCATGCTCTATGAAAACCGGGATAAGCTCCAGCTGGGTGGGCCAATAGGTTCCGGTACAAATTTAACCTTTATACCTTTACTTTGTCTTCCAAAATAATTTCTATAACTGTTGATAGGGAAAAATTTATAAGGGAAAGACCATTGTCAAAGTTATGAAAGGGCTGAGGTAAAATAAGAACCATTTCGGGTCGAAGGAGGCGAAAAAGACATTCGAATGACTAACTGAGAAAAAATTCATTTGTTGTCCTTTAATCATAAACTGTTACGGTATAATCTAACCGACAGAAAAACACCACAATCCTACAAACTCAACTACTTTATTAAACAACGAGTGATATTCTTAATAAGGAGCGACTCCTAAAGACAGTAAAACTTACTTAAGCCCACTACAGTATATATATTAGCTCACCACTGAGCCAAACTCACAGTTTCTCCAATGTTTCTTGAATTAGCAATCTTCCACTGTAGCTCTCTCTTACGGTAGAGCTTCCGAAACAGTCGGTCACTCTCGACAACAACAACTACTAAATAACTGAGTCCTTATAAACATCTACAGAGTGTTCCGGAATATTCCAGAAGCTTACAAAAGAATTGTTTTAATAGAATTACGTAATAACTGCGTGAATAGTTTTAATAGAATTACGTAATAACTGCGTGAATAGATGAAATGTTCCAGAAAGTTCCACAGTACGCATGTCAGCATAACGAAGCAGTCTGGAGATTTCTGGAAGCTTATATTTACAACAACAATCACGCATAACAGAACACTTTTTAGCTTCAAAAAAAAGTAACATACGAATCTACCCCACAACCTGTTGAGGGTCCATAGGGCACCTCGAGATACCAACTTTATAACCTGTTTACAGGTTCAGCCCTAAATCTAATGGCTCAAAAATTGAGGAAATCTCATGAAATGAGAGAGGATCAACCTAAGGGACTATAATAACCGTAGAGATCTTCATCCTTAAAAGGTTATCTCTCTCTTGAGTAATTTTTGGTGATTTAATTACTGGTGATTTAAGAAATCTCAGGAAGACCTAGAAATAGCTAATCATGTATTGCGAATTTTGCGCAAGTGATCAACCCATACATGCCTAATTATTTGTCGTGTGCAAACAAAACGCGAAGTACAGGAAACGGAGTTCTGGGTAAATTTTAGTCATTTTCTTGAGCGAGAAAATATAATACAACAAAATTGAAATTTATGACCTGTATAATGATAAGAATAACCTCAAAGGGATTTTCTGCTGACTCAGTAAACCACTAAGGAGATTCAAAATTTGCGCCTAAACCTCAAGCATTAAGTTTCTGAGTTTAACTTGTGTGAATAAATCAGTAGATATAGATAACTAAATAACGATACCTTCCGAAAACAAAAGTGAATACTTAGACTTAATAATGCGCACACCTGAGAATGTTTGATGCAAATATACCCTAGAATCCAGTCAGCACCTCAATGACACTATGAAAACGAATATTACTCCAGGCATGTCAGACTTTTGATTGAGTGTTTCGTTCATCGAACAAGAGGTTATGGTTCTTTAATGTTTGACAATCACACTGCCATGGGTTAGCGTTTTAAATTCGGACCAGGTGACAACGGAACCACTTGGTATCCTGCAGTTTGTGTACTGAGCAGCAATTTCTTTTTCGGACAGAACCCGGTCCCACATGTTGACCTCAGCCAGTTGGGAATTCAGTGTGTTCTCCAGTTCAAAACCTCCTCCAACGGTGTCTTGATCTTGCCCGAGCACTAAATGGCCTCCAGATCGGACTGTATATCCCACTTCAAAACCCATATGCTGGCCTTCAAATTGACCGTTTTTATACAGTCTGAGTTCACCATAAGTATTTTCCCAAGTGAAACACAAATGATGCCAGGCACCATCATAGACCGAAGCATTGAAACTAAAGAAAATTCATATTCATGAAATGAGTGATTTATATTTTCTTCATTTACTGCCCAGTCTGTTTCTTTCTGAATCATCCATCGCTTGATTCGTTCCAGTATCATCCTTACACCCGTTCACCCACCCTCCCTCCCCACCTACGAAGAAATAACTATGTTTGAGTAAACTCAGCTGGTCCAATTTTAAGTAGTGGAGAAGCAAACAAAATGCTCTCACGGGATGTCTAAAATTATAAATGGTACGACTCCAACCTACTTTTAAAGATGTCTTCCCGGGTGCTAAAACAGACAACTAACGGAACTGTTTTTCTTACACCGGGGCAAGTCTGAAATGCATTCCCAAACAAAATGGAAAATGAGAAATCCATGTCCGGGAATCGAACCCAGGCCACAGGGGCGGGAGGCGAGCGCTTACACCACCGCGCCATCCCCGCTCTCTAGGGGCATTTAGTGATGGCTAAATGAAATCGTACGAACCTTATCCCCTTTTTCGTGACCATATTGTAGGATGGTCATGGTAATGAGAAATTGTTGAAAAAGGTTGAATTAAGTTTCATCATTGACCCGATTTTCAAAAAAATCAAATAAGAATTACCTGCCATGTTTGTCATTGATGCCGAGAGCTGTCTCAGTTGGAGAACTTTCGGCATAAATATCATTTTCATCGAGTTTGGCATAGCTGAAGATAGATTGCAGTTTTTGGTCTGTAACAACTTTTACAAAAAAACACAGCGATAACTGGCTGAGGTCCGATGGTATGGCTGGATATTTCATGGCATAGTTTTCAATGGAACGCGGCGCAGGAAATACGAGTAAGTATCCTAGAAGAAAAAGTTGAAAGGGCATCGGGCAGAATGCGGGAACATCATTAGTTATTCATAAGCGATAAAGCGGCAAATTTAAACGCGACCTCGCTTTGAAGAGCTCTAAATTATGGAAGAAGTGTCAAAAATGGCCCACTAGGCTTCATAAAACTCACTTTTCTGAGTTTAAGAAGAGCTTGCTTCTAAATCAACGCACGGCTTTTTGAAAATTATAGATGCATCTACAATTTGCACCTAAAAGAACGATTTTTACGAAGCAGAAACAGCATCCTTTTGCACTTGAAAACTTCGGTCATTATTGGTGCGAAAGTTATTTTCAAGAGCGATTTTGCGAAAACCCTTTAGACGGTCTAAAATGGTTGTCATGTTTAACAAAGCATTCACCTCTAATTTAGTGGAATAACTTGGGTGCTTAACCAGTGAAACTGCTCTCCCTTCCCTTCTTTCTACAGAATTATCAAAGAATCTCGCGAAAACCTGAGTCAAAATAATAGCTTCCGCATCAAGGTGATTCCTCAGAAATAACAGTTATCGAACCATATTTTGTGAAGCTTCCCTTGATTGTTCTCCAGAAATCTCTGCTACGAGAACGACAATGAAAAAGACAGGTTACCATGCCTGCCAACTAGTTGTGATGGGAAAATCTTACCCAATTTGTGCCTGCACTGATACTAATACTAATGTTATTTCATCGGTTCACCGTTCATTTTGCGGTAGTCGGAGGTGAGGGTTAAAATAATACTTGATAGGTAAAAAGTCTCGAGCGTACGTAACAATGAAATATACAATTTAAGGAAAAACCACTCAATTTTTAGCGACATCGACTGAAAACGTTCCTCAAGTCCTCGCTTTCATGGTCATAATTTGTAATCACGATATTATGAGGAGTTCAGGATGCGCAGTGCAATACTGAGGAATCATCTTAATATGATAACTTTATACGGGATGGTCATAAAGTAAGATGGTATTATTCTCAACCAATAAGAGAGCACGAATCTCTTTATCTCGCTTAGGCAATAAAACCATAGAATGATGGAGAAACACTAAAGCACATGTGGTGGAACCTGTCACCAGGTTCCGTTAATAATGCATCTCGATGTAGCTTTAGCTGTTCCCACTTAGAGCTGTAATTTATTGGAATAAAAGCACGGTTTTGTCGCTAAAACTTTGTTAGTATGGTTGTGTTAGAGCAGCACTAATCAATGGGAAGGTTTTACTTTTTCGCTTATTACTTAAGCATATCGTACGAAGAATATTATTGATAGGAATGTACATTGACTTACCTATATCGCACATTTGTTTCCCCTCTGGCCCTGATAAACAACTGCAGTTGTGATCGACTGCTATTAAACGGATGAAGACAAAGGTTAAGAAAACAATAAAACATTCAAAATCATTTATAATCTTTAAATACCTTAATAGTATCTTTGTGATTTTTATCAAGACTTTCTTCATATAAGCGATTGTCTTGCAGGAAGTTTTCAATTGAGTATTGAAAGAGATCCCCGATGGCGTCAATGTTGCCTTACTTTGCCTTGTGATTGGTCTAGAAGCTTGAAGCGCTGGAAAATGCGAAGGCTCGAAATGGAGTTGGTTTAAATTTTGCATCTGATTGATTGGGATGGTGATACAAGTATTGTTGTCTGTTTTTGACGATTTTAATCTTTTCTATGTATAGTAATTGCGATTACTTTGGTTTTGGTTTATTAACAGTCAATTGAAAACTGCTAAATTTGAGTACATCGTAGTCGAGTATGCGGTGTACTTAGCACATACTGGTAGATGAATCCGGAAACTCTGATAATCTCCTTCGCTGCCGTTTTTTATGATGTCACGAAACGATCCCTACCAAAGAAGGCCTCGTGAAGCCTTCGGTGACAAAAGGAATTGTAAAAGCGCCAACGAAAAAATCATATTTGTAGACTTTCTATGATTATGACTGATGATATAAAAATTTTAAAAAATAACAAGATAAAGAGTGTTCTGCTATTTTAACCCTTCGATTCGCAATCTGAAGACTAGTCGAGTTACTTGGAGGCGAAGTTTTACCCTGGCTACATCACTTGTCGTGGTGGAGATTAAAAATCAATTTTAATGATAAGAAGAGAGAGTTCAACTTACTGTTTTCACAATGGTTTCCTTTGTACGATCTCGTACAGCGACAAATATAGCCATTTGTTTGATACAGTGGTACACAAGTTCCGTTGTTTTGACATGGCCCAATTGAGCAGGGAGACTAAGAACAAGAAAATCGTTCATTCTCATTAGAGCCACTTAAAACGACAAATTTGCGACGATTACGTCCAACACAAGCTGTGGTTCATATCAAGGAGTGGAGCTAAAATACGAAGGGATGATAGTGATTTATCAATTAAGACTAACGCCCCAGTCTCAACACGGGGCTTCGTATATCAGTTGGAAGTATCTCGCTTATACGACAAAACCGCGACGATTACGTCCAACACAAGCCTTGGTTCACATCAGTGCGAGGAGCTAACATGCGTAGGGATGATGGTGATTTCTCACGGAAGACTAACACCTCGCCTCTCAATATGAGGCTTCGTATCTCAGTTAGTAGAAGCGCCCAACTAGTTCATGGGAAGCACGAGTTCATTTCCCGAAGTGTCAGCCTTCTTTTCTGTAATTTCTTTAGCTGCAGCTCAACTGAAAAGTCATTAATTTTTTTGTATCTGTTGAATTCTCCTTATCTTATGATGATTCGAACCTTTCTTAAACAAACAACAGCCATCAATGGACGAAAAAAGACATTATGCAAATACATATAATACTTTTTCGGTTTACATGCAATGATTTCCATATAATCAGTCTATAACGACGTTCTGATGCTTACCCAGCTTTTCTTTTTTTAATTCACGGAAAGATATTAATTTATTTTCGATGCTCAAATATATAGCACTACAATTACTAGAGATAAGGAACATAGACTTATACAATACGTACATTATGCAAAATATTAACGAAGATTTTTTTTGATAAACAAAACCTTATTGAAAAAAAAACAAACAAAATAACATGTAAAAATAAATTTAAAACCGACAATAAAAAAGAACAAATTAACAAAATGTATTTTATAACCATTAGATGTAGTTCACACAAAAAGAAAAATGAAGAAAAAGCAGGCATCAAAATAAAAGCTTGTCAGTCGCCACATATATTTAATAAGAACTGCAGCCATTTTCAATACGGCACTGTTCGAATAACTTGCTCACGAATTCATCGAAATTTGGTTTCTTTGTAATGCTCTTGCAGGTGTACAAATATTTCTTTTGCAATAAAAACAGAAGACGTAGTCTGCTTTTAAGACACTTTGACGATTCCAATGGAGAGGAGTCTTCAAACGTGTTGAATACAATTTGTATATTTAAGAATTTTATCTTAGTCTTGTGAAAATCATTAAACATCCTAAAGTTTACGTAAAGAAATCAGTTAATTCTTGAGAATGTATTAAAGTGTGTTCAGTTGAGTCTGGATTAAAACATAGAGGGCACTTGTCATCAGAGGCCAATTTATATTTCATCAGTTCTTTCTTGGTAGGAATTATTCTGTGCATAACTTTAAAAGAGAATTGTCTAAGTTTATTATCTTTCGAAGACTTATATATATCCACAAAACAGTTGCTCCAATCAGGAAGTTCTGGAAAAACTAAATAGTTTGTTATATAGTTTGTTCTATCTTCCAACTGAAAGTATTCTGACGGTGCACAGAGTAGATCAGGGAAAGAAGAATCAAGAGCCTTTCTTTTCAGATCTGAGGGAATGGCAGCAATTAATTGAAAATAATGCGAATAATTGACCTTAATATCGAATTTATTTTGAAATTCTTCAAGCGTCAGAAAATTTCCATCAGAATTTAACAAATCGCTATTAAAAAGAATGCCGCAATTACACCATCGTTTCTGAAAAACACTGTTTTTTTCTCTAATAACTTTCCTATTATTCCAAAGAATGAGGTCATTATCATTGTTCTCTTCTTAATATTTAGTTAGTTCTTGGAAATAATTTAGCAATTCGCGATCAAATAAGGATACGTTTTTGTCAAGATTTGCAGTATTATAATTACATTTAAGAAGGAAGGGTAAGCCGCCATATTTGTCAAAAGAGTAATTCGGTATGGCCTTCCAGTTGTCGTTGGAACTGCTTAGCAGTCTACCTATCCATGCTTAGCGCAGATATTTCACCATAATTCCAAAGTTTATAAAATTAAGGCCACCGTTTTTAAGTTGCTGGCACACAACGTTTCCCTTGATTTTATCTTTCCTGTTTTTCCACAAAAAAAGAGAAGCGGAGGCCTTGAGCTGTGTTTTTTACTGTATCAGGAACACTCATCAGTGAAACACTGTAGATTAATTTTACCCTCTGCCCATTCCTTGGATTTAACGCAAAATCTCCTACGAACGCTGTACAGGCCGACGTAAAAAACTGGTACAAGAATCCGCAAAAATTGCTTATTGATAATCTGGTACCTCCCCAGAGTATGGTAATTCTCCTAATCATAACCATTACAATTTCCTCAAACGTGATTGGTACAATAGCTGCTTTATTTTTCGCAAATAATTCTATACAACTGTCATTGGACACTTGGCTGCAATCAGACAGTTGAAGCAGCCAATCATACTGAGTCTACCCAGCCAATTCCACCTATCACAGAACTAGTCACAATAAGCATAGCAACAAACACTTATCCTTAAAGTACTGAGAAATTTCCAAAATGGAAATCACAAATTGTGAAAATTTTGACATTTCACCGAAGCAAATTGAAGAAAATCAGAGCAAAATTATCGTAGACGAGCGCCTCCCTTCGTGCAGCCTTAGCTTAATAACAAAATTCGTTTTGATCATATTTACTACAGCAAACGATGTTCCGAACCTTTCTCATTGCCTTTTGATGTTTTTAGTGACCTTAAAAAGCGAAAACATAAAAATCATTTGGAGAAACATCATACGGGTGCGCGTGCGCCAACATTGAGCAAAAACCCTATGGAGCCTCCTTAAAGGAACTTTACTTTTTTCAGAGGAAGTCCAACTGCATCTTTCTCTACTTTTTGTTTTTTTGTGTGTGTGCGTGTTTTTAAATTAAGACCTGATCTACGAAATTGTCCCTGGTAAAGTTTTGTAATCGCTGACAACTACTTCGAATAGATATCTATACTATACGTTTTCTCCAATGAAGGTTCGCCAGTAGTCCAATGTTGGCTTAACTAGTTCATAGACTAACCCGTGTTTCTTCCTAAAATGCTGCATTTAAAGTTTTAGGTTTCACATTTAAAGAATTGAGTATTTTAAAATTTCACGAGAATTTCCCGAATGGTAGATGAACTACAACTTACCAGTCGACTAAAATGGTGAAAAGAAACATTCGTCTTAAGTTCCGTTCTAGCTCTGTACATGTCCGTGTTCAGCAGTTCACAAATGTACCAACCATTATCTGGATATGCCGCCAAGTTATACGAAAAACATTCGCTTTCAGCTATGCATTCGAACGGGCAATGAAATTTGTCCTTAATGAGAAAAGATGCGATAACTGATGTCGAAAGATGTTTTTGAAAAACAGCCATGAAGTTTCCGTACATAAATTCTCGGTTTCCCGATCGGAGCAAATCGCCAGGTTGAGTGGACCGACCGTATTGAGTGATGGTAGAAACCAGAATAAATACGAAAATAAAAACAAAGCTGAGGAACGCCATAGCCGGAAAGATTGATGGTTTTGGCTTGAAAAACCTCCCTTACAGCCTTTAAACAGCTGGCTTTATTAATTAAGCAAAAGATATTTGTTAGATTACTTTACTTGGACTTGTTAATATTAATCAGTATTTGCCGGTTTCTGTGACAACTACCAAACTTTATAAATTTTGAATGAATGAAAAATAAGCTGCAGCTCTTATCAAAACAAACCAGAGGATGTACTGCATAATTTCTAGTTTTATGTCATGATCAAAGATTTTTGTCTTCCTTGAAAGAATTTTTTCATAAGCAAAGAGCTTCCACGAGTGAATGTTTGTCAAGTGTGCGATGTGAACAAAATAGGCTAATGACATAAAAGACGAGGCCCAAGCTGAGCGGTAGCCACGAAAATTCCCCAAGGGGACTCGCCCACGTACGAGACTATGACTTATTTATTAACTTATATTTAAAAATATGTTTATCTAAAATCAAAAAATATTCTAGAAAAACTTTACGCCGGCGCGCGTGCCAAAATTGCGCAGAAACCCTATGGAGCCTCCTTATGGGAACTTTACTTTTTTCAGGGGAAGTCTGCCTGCATCTTTCTCTGCTTTTTGTTTTTCTTTGTATGTGTGTTTGTAAATTAAGACCTGATCTACAGAATTGTTGATGATGAAGTTTTAAATCGCTGACAACTACTTTGAATAGATAACTACCCTACGTTTTCTCCATCAAAGCTCTAAAGTTTCGCCCGTAGTCCAATGTTGGCTTAACTAGTTCATAGACTTTCACAAAGTTTTTTTTTCTTTTCTTGACAGAATGATTCTCATTTTGTCTACTTTGGGCATCTTTTTTTTCTTTTTTTACCAAGGACTTTCTTCCACTTGTGATTTTCCACGAGCAAAGATTTTTCCATAAACAAAGAGCCTCCACGTGTGAACTTTGTCAAGTGCGTGATGTAAACAAAATAGGCAAATAACATGAAAAACGAGACCCAAGATGAACGGTTGCCGCGCTTGAATGCGGTCGCCGGTTGAATGCCAACAGCACAAGCCATCACACAAAGCTATCAGAAAAGTTGTGATGAAAACTCTAGGTGAAAGAGATTATGCTGCTCAAGAAACCATACCACACAGTTCATCATTCACTGTTATGCCATTTAGATTAAATTGTTCACGCAGGGTACAAACTAATTCATCAGACAATGATTCTGACACCTGCACTGACAACTCTCTTCTTGATGTTTATGCTAACCGTGAATAGTGTGACAGTTCGACTGATATTATGAATATGAACTTTATTCAGCATTCTACAAGCTTTAAACTTTTCAATAAAAAGCTAACTAAACGTCCTGAAAATATAGTCCCACGTATATTTTCAACATATTCTTGAAACCCGAAAGGACCAAATTTCCCACTTTATCGTAAATACCAACCTTTAAGGTATAAACATTGGAAAGTAACTCAGAATAATGTATGACGTCTTTGGCATGAATTCTTACAAACACTATATAACTTCCAACAATGGACTAAACACTCCAAACACTCCATTGCGGTTGTTCAAAGCGGTTAAAAATATGTTAGGAGCTGGGAAAAAACTGCACTGGAGCGGCGACGAACTGTAACGTGAAATCCGGCTGCCGAAGGGCGAAAAATGACCGCTTGGAAATGGCAAGCGAAAAAACTGACCCGAAAAGGCTTACACGTCCTTTAGATGCTATCAAATATATTACAATAAATTACTCGACTAACACGCCAAAATATATTCCGCACGCACGACGAACTAACGTACAAAAATCCCAAAGGGAAAACAAAAGACACTAATAAACGGGTGTTTAGTTCTTTACACACTATATGCACAAAGTAACGTACCGGATTGGTCTGAGAAACTTCAAGCTGTTATTCAAAATCAGGAAGAGCCAGATATTGAGCTTGTTCAGTTAGATGCAAACATGCGTGAGGAATGGATGATATTATCAGACCTTAGAACCTCCTTTGACAATTCGTCAGATGAAACTTCCTCATCATCAAATTACTGGCATAGAGACAGAGCTACGTACTCTGAACAACAAATTGATGAGATGCCTACGTGGGTAAAAACAAAGAAAGAGTAAGTTACTGATGTATCGCACCCAAATAATGACGTTTTTGATATAAATACTTTAAGTGAAATGCAAAAACTTTCATATAAATATTGCCAACAGACACCTTCAAGACACTTCAGAAGAAAAGGGCCCATTGTGTCTCATAATTAGAGGTGTAACTAGCACCGCGAAAATTTAATTAATGCTCTGCGAAACTCGTTACAAAGTAGATGTGCTGTCAAAGCCACAACTGGTAAAGCACTATACAATATTAAAGGTGTTACGATTCATTTAATGAGAGCCTCAAAGGCATAGACTCCATACTTATTGATGAGTATTCAATGCTTGGCCAAACTATTCTTAGATAAATAGATGCAAACAAGCAAAGGGATATCATTACAAAGTACTTGAAGGAAAATCCTTGATTTTGATCGATGATCCAGGTCAATTGCCATCTGTAGCAGGTGAGCTAGTTTATCACAGTAAACCATCTAATGCTATTGGAGAACAAGGATATCAGACCTATAGAATGTTTCACACAGTTATCAAACCAACTATTAATCAGAGAGTTCAGGATGACTGTATCAAACAGGAGAAAATCAGGAATTTGTCGTTAAGGTTTCGAAAAGGAGAATCGAATCTTGATGAATGGAAGTGGCTGTTAACTCGAGATCCATCGAATGTTACAAATATATCTGAATTTAATAATACTATTGGACTCTTTTATAGCCATAACAAAGTTGCAACCTATACTCAGGAGCAGCTCACTAAACTGCAGCAATTTGTTGCTCACATAAATGCTCGTCATTCATCTACTGTTGCAAAAAGCATGACTGCTAATGTCAGGTCTAGAACCCGCTGTGTTCTTAACTAAAGGTGCGAAGGTAATGTTGACCATGAATTTATGGGTATCTGTTGGTCTTTGCGATGGGGCAACCGGAACAGTCATGGATATTATCTATGAAATTAATCATTAGCCACCGGAGTTACCAATAGCTGTAGGTGTAAAGTTTGATGATTATAGAGGCCCTTCTATCACTGAAACACAACAATCGTGTGTACCCATATGTCCAATTACTGTATCTGCTCAGTCACTAGATTGCTTTCACGAGAGGCAACAGGTACCCCTCAGACTTGCATATGCATTAACAATCCATAAGAGCCAAGGACTTAAAATGACCAAAGCATGGATAGATATTGGTAGAGAGAAACCCTCGTGTGTCTTTTGAGTCAAAACCATTTCATCATGTGTTATTGTGCCAATGACATTTGAAAGGTTGGCGAGCTTGAAATCATCTATAGCCTCACAATTTAGGCTGGATGAATAGCAGAGATTAGATCATTTGGTGGAACTGACACATTCCACTCTTAATTAGGCATGAAATTATGATCTAGGAATACAGAGAGAGTGTTCACCTCCCTTATAATTTATTCCAATTCTTTCTATCGATGTTTACCCTTTACATTCCATACACACACACATATATATACAGGTACAGATATTCTGTTGGTCTTAACTAGTTTTCCTTTTTTATATCTTATCTCATTTTATAAGTTAATTTCACACATGATAAGATGCACTGATTAAATTACTAACAATTTGAAAATATCAATATATACAAGTTATATAGTATTTTTCGCTTTGATATCGAATGTTTTTGTTTTAGGTCATTAGGTTTTACAAAAGCATCACCAGCGTTGTGCAAGCTAAGTTTTTTTTGACTGTAGCTTGATCAAAACTGAGGCAAGTGTTCGGGAGGATTCGAAAGCAGTTCAGTGAAAACGCAAGTGCTGTCGAGGATTTTCACCTACTAGAGAATTCTTACAATCTTTTATAAGGTTTCCTTCAGGCTATGAGGGTACAGAGAAAATATTTTCCTCTTTCATGAAATAATTAAAAATATGATCTTTGAGGCATAATCAACTTTATCTTGCCTCATGAAGTTACAGGTTCTCACAACGTGCAACAACCAAACTTCATTTTCATGACTTTGTAGTTCTATGACCAGGATGCACACCATACCCACCCACACCTGTTCGAATAGTGATATAGATGAAAATAACAAAACAAACAAGCGAAATTTTTAAGTTTTAAGTTTTAAGTCCACAACTAACGGTATTAGTTCCTTCGTAAAAGCGACTTGCGAAAAAATAATAAGTTCAAGGTGAAAACATTAAAATTTAGAGAGAGTTCAAAAGTTACGATCTTAATCTTCATAAGAGTTCTCTGTGTACTGCGGCTCTTCTTCGAGGTCTGGTGACAGTAATTACTGTATTAATTAATTGCTCTGGACCATAAGGTGCTGTTAACGCGTCTACATTCGATATCACTACAATGGGAATCAAGTACTTTATACTTCTCTACAACAAACCCTCGAGCCTGCTACGCGCACGACTGCTGCTCTAATTCTGCCGTCATTCCTGGCAATAACTCTTTTACGAGCGCCAGTTTCCAAAGAACCCTCTTCGTCGAATCATTTTGGAGCAACACTACGCCACGAACCAGAAATTTCAGCGTCTCCCTTTTTCCAAGAGATTACAGCGTGTCTCACGTAAGCTGATCAAGTAATCCTTCCTCCATGTTTCCGTGAACTAATGTAGCAACTGCTTCTGGTGCCTTGATCTCCGCGTCAACGATTCGTGCGTACTAACAACTTCAAAATTCCGTTGATCAGGTGTGAGGGTGCCAGCACAAAGCTGATTCCGTCCGTGTCGTCACAAACATACGTTAGGAATCTCGCGTTGACGATGCTTTCCACTTCTATTCTTGACAGAATTAAGTGAGATTCCGTTTGTAGTCTTATTGTAAGATCATCTTCTTTGATGAAAGGTTTTCTTGTTTCTCTGTACAATTGTCAGTTTTAACTTCTTTTGCTTGTGCGTCTTAGTATGCTCCTTCTGCATATCACGTTAGTCGAACCTAGACCGTGAGTTATAGCAGCGAATTCATCACTGAACAGGTATTTTGTTGGCTACAATGGCAAGGATTTTCTCCTGAGACTTAAGAAAGATAGGTAAGCGAAAGAAATTTACCTCACAGCATATTTTATTGCAACTTAACACACACAAACTTGAGCGCTCCGTTAATCTTTGTTCGTATCTTATCTCACAGAAAAGGGCGGTTTCGATGGCCAAGATCTCCTTGCTATTGCCCAAGAAGCAGACAAACTAAGGAACTATATCCCTATTACAAAAGAGCGTCTAAAGTTCAAGAAATTGATTGCAATGAACGCTAAACCTAGAGATGATACGAGTTATTTATCGGTACCATAATTTATTTTCCCGGTAGAGAATTTGACGCATGCGTGGTTCGCCTCTTCTCCTGAGCTTAGTTGAGTCTCAACGGTTGCACAATAAGGTCATGGGTTCTCATTTGGCGCCGAGAGATAGCGATAACGATAGACAGCTTTTCAGCTGTGGCGCGCATGCAAAACATGATGTGATAGCCAAGGCTCACATTAAGGTTGGAACCCATACAAAAATAGCAAGAAAATGGAGAGATTCGTAGAGAGAGTCAGGAAGAAAAGAGCATCCATGAACAACAACAACAAAAATATACACTGGTTACGAGCCAAGCGAGAAGAAGGGATTAAAATTTAGGCAAACTTAGATTGACAAATGAGCGATGTCGGTTGATAAATTATCAAATTATTTCTCTTTCTGTTTACACAAGCTGATTTGGTGCAGCTGAAGCGCTGACATTAGACAGAGACTCAGGGGAAATTATCACAATATCAAAAAAGCAAGGAAAAGTGGTTCCAGTTATCTTGCGGTTGGCACTGCGAGAGTCTGCACAACGGAAGACTCCTAAAGTTACGTTAGAAGTCTATTTCATGAGAAAAGAGAGGCAAAAGTATTTCAGTTCCCCTATGCTTTCTCATTTTAGCCAGTAATTAAAAAGTGTCATCCTGTGCTTCATATTCCTAAATGCTTCAAAAGACAAAGACTTTTCTTTTCGCCAAAAATATCTTAAATTTAAATAATTCCCTTTGAAAACCAGCTTTTTGTCTATTTTAATTTGGTCTGTTGTTAATTATGACAACGCTATTACTGGAAAGAATCATAGCTTGCTCGTTCTTAATTCTGTTACAAGTTTTAGCTCTAAAATGTGTCTTGCATTGCAATCGAAAGTTTAAGCATACCGAGCTTTAGAAACAGATTACAATTAAATTAAATTTATGGGATTTTCCTTAATTTTCACATTTGGTACCCACCAAATCGGTATATTAATTAGGTAGAGACAGGTGCCTCTATCGTTAAACAAAATAAATAGATAAGAGCGAGAAAGTGCTCCCTTGGAAAAAAGGAAATTGGAAATTTCTCACACGATCGTGTAGTAGCGAATTTTCGGTGTAATCATACTATTTGAATCCAAATAGTTAAATATCAATTTTAATGACAAACCCTAAAACTTGCCATTCAGACGACCAATACCTCTGTAACAATGAATGTAGGCATCGAAATAGGTATACAGGATAAACTTCAAAGCGAACAAAAACAGAAGGATTTCCACTTTAGTTCTTTACTGAACAATTTAGATCGCTCCACATTGGTTGATTCGGAAACAAGCTTTGGCTGACACAAAACGAGAGCAAACTCACCACCTGAATTTCAGAAACTCCGTTGTCGCCTTTTGCACGGAACCAGGGAACAGGACTGTAAAAACGAAAAATCTTAGCAAGAAGAAAAGTATCAAAGGGCAGGTAGTGCAAGCATTTAAGATACAAGATTTAAAATTCCTGACCATTTTTCCGCTTTTTTAGATTTTCATTTAACCGATGTAGTTAATTCCAAGGGCAGAACAGCATTTTTCTCTGCTTTGGGCATCAAGGTTACTTCGAAAATCATCAAGAGATGATCGGAGAACACCTTGATTTTCCTTCCTTAATTTCTGACCAGTTGGTATATTTTATCACGATGAAGCTCCTACGAAGCCACTGGGTAATATTCTTCCACTCATTCGAAAACAAATTGAATTCATCCATGAATCTACCATGTCAGTGGTATTCTCACATGAACTCGAATGAATCGAAGGCTCGAAGAAATGACTCCTCCTTTTCCTGAACGGCTCCTCAGTTAAGGTTCCGTGAAAGCAAAAAATTAAGAGATTTTCATTTGCCTTTATTTCCTTACTTAGACGATTATCATGAAAGCTGTATTTTTCCTCTAAGTCTCACACCTAATCTACCGGCACAAGTAAAGACCTATCTCGATATCAACCCCAAACAAGGGAGTTTCAAGCGCTTCGTCTATCCCCATGCACGGAAGGATAAAATCGCTACACAGCATCAGCCAGAATGAACAATTCGTCGATGGTGGATAGCCGTTACAGTGCACCAGTAAGTCAGGCTGTCATCATTGCTGACATCTCCCTCTTGACCACTAGTTTTCTCGCAGGGACGTTTGGAAATGGACGCGTATGTATTCTCTATTGGAAAAACAAGGGTCCGCCTAAAGCTCCACAAATACTGTTTGCCAATCTTTCAGTGATTGGATTTCTTTCTTCAATAGTTTGCATCTTTGGTTGGTTACTCCTGGTTGTGATGAACTATGTTGTTAAATTTACGGTGCCGGTAGTGTTATGTTTCTTGATCGCTCCGTTTGCATTTG